ATCTCTTTCCGCCGATATAGCCTGGATCTCTTCCGTGCCGATGTTCACAACTTGACTAACCATCTCTGCACTGTTGCGATCAGCGTACTCCCCTAACTGGGTGAGACGATCCCGCATTGCCACACGATCAGTGTCCATCTGGTATTGCAGGTCGTGTGCTGCTGAGAGCAAACAGTCTCTGGATTCTGTAAGTTGGGTGATTCTTCGTTGATTTCCATATCCTTCGACATAACATTCTTCGAGGTGTGCCATCACTACTTCGTGGACTTCGGTCTCGTGTTGTATAATCTGGTTCTGTCTTTGCTCACATTCGACCATCCATGCGTTTTGGTGGTTCAACATATTGCACTTCGGCAAGTAGTTGCGCACACTTCGCATTCAGGTCTCCATCGGCCCGTGCTAGTTGTAGGTTGTCAGTGCTTGCCCTTGCTCGATCTCCAGCTTCGCTGTCCGACGGCACTGGTACAGCTGACCCATCCTGCAATGCTAACACTCTCACAGCTCCGGTGTCAGTCCTCCTCCTTGTCTCCCTAGGGCTACGGTCTGATCTCGGTGTCCCCCACGGTGGTGTCGAGTGCGCCGACAGGGAACGACTTCGTGCTCTACCTGTCGCATCTTCTCTCACCGCTGTCAGAGTCTCCACCTCGATCGTACCTGGACTAGAGTTGTGGGATGCACTCATCCGATCTGCGGCCGCAGCAGTTGCTCCGAAAGATGCAGTGCTGGCGTCGGATTGGTCCATCTTCAGTGACTGAGGGTAACTGATCTATCCGATGCGTGTGTGTTTAGATGGTGTTGTGTAAGGCCGTAGCTCGTACCCAGCTCAAAGGAGTCTGGATACGGCTGATAACCTGCGAACGGATGGAAAGGTGTGCCCTGGCCCCGTTCTAGCTCTTAGGTCAACATGAAGCTCGCGCGCTAAAGCTCCTTTTTACCTGGTTGGGCACTTGAGCCAAAAGTATATGGCATGTACCTGTATAGCGACTATACTGGGACCCCATCCCTATTGACAAAAGATTCATGCAAGAAAATGCTGCATAGCTTGAACATTGAGAGGGGGGCAGCTTTCTGAGCATCATGGTACGCAGGCCAAACAAATTCCAGTGACAGCTCCGATTAAGAAATAGGATAACGTGCGAAAAGCTTGTGCGTGTGTGAACAATGAACAGCTCTGGATCCAATCAAAAAGGGGATGCGGTTTGCGCAATCAGACCTATCAACAAATTCAGCTTGGCAATTCCAGACTTGTAGGTTGGGTGGCATTCTTCGAGGTTAGCTCAAGTGGCCCCAGTGTTTACTATTTGGCAGTCAATGAGTGGAATGAGGCTACATGAGGCTACACAGGTTGGAGGCATTGGTATTAGGTCATTAGGTTGGAGGCCATTAGTCTAGTTTAATAGCAAGAGCAAAGAGAGGAAGAGAAATGGAGCTCTATTAAAACATATCCTCCATTCAAGTCCTTCAAGGTTCTCAAAACTCCCTTTGTGATCACCGATGGACAACTCATATATGAGATAGTAGGAGACTCTATGCGTCTCAGACGTCTTGAAGGACCTTGCTAGAGTACCACAGGACCGTCCTTGCACTGTCGCCCATGTCGCCCCATTTTCTTCTTCTGCTGGTGGCAGTTCTGGTGTCGGCGGACGCCTCGGTTGCCAGAGTAGTTCAATCAACATGATCAACAGCACTAGATTATGAGACCGGGCCCGAAGCAAGCATCAAACAAAGAACAGTCAAATACGGTGATCCAAATGAATCATGATGAACCTAACCGATCTGGCGCATCCAGTGGCACTACTGTTGTCAACCTCAGGATCAGTCACCCCAAACGGGTCCATCCTCCGTGTCCCAAAAACCTCCAAGGCACGCTTCAAAGCTACCGCCTGCCTGACGGCGGTGTGAGCAGTTTGGCGCTGTGGCTCCGAAAAGGGCCCAAGAAGAGGAACGGCGGAACGGTGGGACTGCTGTTGTTCATCATGGACCCAAAGATTCCGTATGCATGACCCAGCTTGAGGCATTCAAGGACAATGAATTTGACTGAGCCGCGAGAAAAAGCTTCTTGACCTTTCCAGGACTGCAATTGCAATGTGATGATGGTTTGTTGTGGGTAGGGTCAGATCATCTCAGAATGTTTAGTCTATTGATCTATATCTCAGTGCAATTTACTTCTTAGCACCGGCTATTCAGCTGTAACAGCTCCTCCATAGTCAAAGTGTTGACGGTTGATCCCTTGATTCGTAAACTCGGGTCGACCAAAAAGCCAAAAGATACGCACAATTCGTGTGCAAGGAGGAGCATGCCCTCAAGAAAGTGGTTTGCCTTGACAGAGGGAAGTAGATGATCCAGTGCAAGAGAACTATGGAGTGGATAGGGAGGAAAAGTGACGGGTAGAGCGAGGGAGAGAAAATGAAAGACACATACGCAAAGAGAGAGAGAGAGAGGGAGGGAGGGAGGGAGGGAGGGAGGGAGGGGGAGAGGGAGAGAGAGAGAGAGAGAGAGAATGACAAAATGATTTGCGCATCTGGGGTGGATCTTGGAGGTTTTCTGAACCTTCATCACTTCATCCCTCCACATTCCCTGTTGACGAGTGAAACTGGCTCCAAATCTCCCCGCCTTTGGTGCCGGCCAATGTGCCTAGCCCCAAGTAAGATCGACCGAGAAGGCATGGATGGTGGAGCGGTGGAGTGTTCCAGTACACTGCTATACTCCCAGGAATGAACATGGAAGTGGAAAAACACCTGTTTGTAGAAGAAAATGGTCATCCAAGCGGCAGTGTAGGCAGTGTACGGTATACAAGTGTTGGGATCTCCTGGCTTGAAGGATCCCATCACCATACAAGTCCGAAAAAAAGACATGATTGTTGGGTTCAACAGTGGTGATGAGGAAACCTGAGAAGCGGCTTGGTATCAGCCTGGTCACCAGGGTTCTTCCCAGCAAGAAACACAAGTCACCAAGATTCGGCCAAACAATGGCACTGCAGAATTTAAATGATTTGAGTGATTTGCTCATACTATACAACCAGTTTTCCCTGTCTGAGTAGATAAATCCTAAGATCGAGATTAAGAAAAACGACGGTTCTAGAGATGCTCTGGTCCGAAATTGAAGGAATATCATGGAATGCTTGTGGTGAGTCAGTTGCTGGACATGTGAATCATATCCATACCATCATTGGACAGGTGGCCAAAACATAAAAAACATTCCTGACAGCTATTGACCCTGAGAAAGCATATCGTCAAGACCATGTTGTTTCATATCATAACCAATGGCTTTATGCACTGCTTACTGTTGGTGCGCAGGAGGAGTGTAGGTTCCAGTATAGGTTGTAGATGGTTTGAAATATCCTATTACAGTACTCCACCCTACACCCATCCATCCAGAAGCCAAAGCCTTATTATCCACCACTGCGCACTGAGGTTCCAAGCTCGACTTGCAGCTCTAGCTTGACTTGCGGCGTCCATATCTGCGCAGGCGGTTGTTCAGCAAATGTTGGACGCTTCGAAGCAGGGTGTGTTCGCTGCTTTAGGTATTCCAAAACATTGAATTGAATTGTCCTAGGCCCAGTCGTGTTTCAGGACAATGTGTGTCTTCCACTTCATTCTACCAGCATAGACCCCAAACAGCTTAGTCGGTAGGAGTTGTCGTTGTGCAACACCAACACACCAAGAGGAACGCCAAAAGGACAACCGGACAACATGAGGGGAGCACGCCAAGAGGAGGAGAAGAAGAAGAAGAAGAAAAGAGGAAGAGAGTCAGGACGCTCGCCGGCGCGGCCTGACACTGTGGCCACTTTTTGTTACGAGAGAAGCCCGCAAGAAGAGGACAACTGGAGGACAAGGAGAGGACATCGGCTCCTGCTTGCGCTCGCATGTTGTCATGCCACGTGGCCATGCTGCGGCGCTGCGGTCTTCGCGCTTGCCGGCTGGCGCCTTCCCACCGCATTGGACCCTTTGATAGCCTTTGATTGCGCTTGGGGACCTTGCTTCGCGCGGGCACGCTGTCATGGTGTCACGTCTACATGCTGCCATGCTGCCATGCTGCCATCTGGACACAAGCAGAAGGACAACAAAGGGACAACAGGAGGAGAAGAAGAAGACAACGGAAGGAGAAGAAGAGGACAACAAGAGGAGAAGAAGAGGACAAGGAGAGGAAAAGGCAAAGGACAAAAAGAGGACAACAGGAGGACACGAAGAGGACAAGAAGAGGTCAAGAACAAGAGAAAAGGACGACAAAAAGAGGACAGCGGGAGGACAAGCAAGGAGAGGACAAAAAGAATAAAAGGACAAGGACTGGAGATGGGCTAGTAGCCGGACCAAGATGGACAAGAAGAGGACAACAAGAAGACAACAGGCGGACATAGTGTTCACGGGCGCGGCCAAGCTGGACACCAGCAGAAGGGGAACAAGAGGACAACAGGAGGACAAGGTCTGGAGATCGGAGAACCGCAACAGTAAACTGTTTGGGGAATGATCCCCACTTCTTGAAGATACATAAATAGGTTGCTTTGCTGCACCATGCTCCGACTTCGAGACCCTTGTACATGGTGGTTATCCACCAATTTTACGGTAATTATAAGGAAAACAGCTGCAGGGGCAAGGGCTACAGTTCCCCTGGACCAAAATCAAATGCCTTCGATTTCTCTATCACTGAAAGCTCCTAGTAGCGTCCTTTGCTCCTAGTAGCGAGGCCAGGAGCCCCTAGTAGTTTCTTGTTCCTGTAGCGATGCCCTTTGCTCCTAGTAGCGTCCACTTCTCTGTTCATGTTGGGGCGGAGGCTTGATGCTGGGGCCAACGTTCCTCACCACGGGTCACGCCGACCGACCGCGGAATTCCGCGCACCGGAGTCGCTGCTGGTGGTCATGTCTGCCCAGCGCTTCCGCGGAGCAGCCTCAGTTTGGAGAGAATGCACTCACAGTCAACGAGGTTTCGCAAGGCAGCCCAAAGAGCATACACAAGCATGTAGCGGCTCTTGCATACAATGACTACAATGTGAAGAACCCTCCCTCAAAATCCGTCAAACAAATGATGATTTTGCCCTGCCAGCCCTGCCTTTGGCTGCCAACTGCTCAACGCTGGAGCGCTCTTCTCCGCATCACTGCCCTGCGAGGCGGGGACAGGCTGCCGGGAATAAAGGGTATATATAAACAAAAAGGCACACCACGAGCAATTATATATCTACAGCATAATTACTTCATCTGTAAACATGCTGTAGTACGTGGTGAAGGTGGAGTCCAATCAACCTCTTGGATGGCCAAAACTGTGTGAAATGTATGTCCAAAGGCACGGAAAAGCATCGGGAACCGTTTTGCAATGTCAACTTTAAGAGCATGACCAACCTGCAACCGGAAGTGGACCTTTCTGTCCAGAGCTCATTTGAGTGCTTCACTTGGGCTAGTGATAGAGGCAGCAAAGTTAACGTATTGGGACTCAAAAAAACCTTCGAGCTGGTGTGATAGATCGAGCTCAAAGTTTGGTTTAAACCACCAAAGATCAGACTTTGAAGCCCGTGACGGCAAATTGACATGCTCCATGTTTTGGTTAAACCATATTAAACCAAACGCCAAAAGACAAGTTGCGTAACCCAGCTGGAAGATTCACGTGCTCCAAGCTCTTGAAACCCTTGCCAATGTATACGTACCGATCGGTCGACCGGAGTAGACCCATGAAGACCCATGGAGACATAGGCCGATGGCTAAAGATCTCAGATCGAGCCAAAGGACTTAGCAACAAAATGTTGCTTGAACCACTTCTGAACCTTCTGCACGCCATTCCATGGACCTGAACTTCAGATCCAGTCCTTGAAAAGATTTATATTCGCGTCTGGGTGTCAAGGCGCTAAAGACAACCCATCTTCCTCTCCTTCAATTCAAGAGCGGTATGTGAACCGAGATGTCAACCCATCTCCTTCCCACATCCAGCCCAGAACCCGAGATGTCAATACTTTTCAAGGAGACTCACGACTCCGTTCATGTTGGGGTAAATACCGCATTACCTGCTATACCGCCGACCCCGGCCGTTTGTTGATCCATCGATTCATAATTAGGCCGGAAAGAAGCTGGTTGACAATCTTTAGTGAGATATTGAATTGTTGCCTGTGTCTAGCACCACTCCACAAAGCCTCATTGCTGGAGAGATCTTCCTCCTTCTTCTTGGCCTCATCCGAATCGCTTCCTGCGCAAAGCTTCATGGGGCTGAGCGGCTCGCAACCACTTTGCCCACAAGGGAGGAAGAACTTCAACTCAGTGCACCCCGAGTCAAACCATGGGCCAGGAATTGTTGCTAAAATCATCCGCAGGGTGCCATGACCCTGACTGTAGTAGCCTTCGTGCCCATCTTCATGGCTCGAAGTGAAGGTCTGGAGGTGTCAAGCGAGAAAATCAGAAGAATGGGACCGGAGATGACCGGAGGGTTTATTCTGTGTTTGAGTCTGAGCCGGATATCCTGCCAGTGAGGGTGCCGTGAGGCTAGCCAAGAACTCTTCCACTCGGATTTGATTGAAATGGCAAAGGTTCAACATGGGGTGCTGGGGGATGAAGCCTCCAAAACGGCTTCAGGTTGACACATCCATGCATCATCCGATCATTCAAACCGCCCTAAACCACACAGAATTCTTGCCCATAGGCCCATAGGAGCAAGGACGCTCCCCTAAACGACCACTCGACGACCTGCCACCCCAACCCCTCCAAGCCCCCGTCGCATGGTTCGCTGTCGGTGTCCTTCACCCGGCCGGCGAGGTTTCACCGAGGCCGGGGGAAACGTCATGGACGGCACTTCATCCGCCAGCTCGTCGAACTCCTGTGGGGTCGGACCGAACCCGTTGGTGTCGCGAAGGGCCGGCGAAAGGACCATGGTCAAGTGGACAGAAAATAACAGCATGCATGCTTCGTTGAAAGCAGACTCTATAGAACTGAATCAAACAAACAGAGTAGAGAGTCCTGAAAGAACTCATCAAATGGAGAAAACAACAATTTTGGATGGTAGACCCATGCCCTTGTTGGTTGATGGTTCTTTCCCCCCTGACACGTTCCCTTTAATGATTTGCTCTGCAGGTTCTCACATGATTTGCTTCGGGACCTCACAGTATGCCTCCAGGAAGACCCACTACTGCTGGATCATCCAGGATCCGTTTTTCTTGACTCTTGACCTTACTGCCAATTTGCGGATCAATTATCACCCTTCCCCAAAAAAATAAAAAAATAGTTCAAAAAGAACGCAGGCCAAGATATGGAGTCATTGAAGGGGTTGCCACCTGAAGTCAGTTCATTTCATCTTGGATCGTCCCGCCGCTTCGCGCCGCTCTCGCTCGCCTGTCGAAGATCTTGAAGCTCTCCACGGCGGTGCGCTCGGAGCATCCCTGGGACCACCGGCTGGTGTCGCGTGGCCGTTGGTGCAGCAATGTGTTGTTCTGGCAAGATATATATCAGTGCATTAGAATGGAAAGAACAATGACAAACATGTGTTCTCAGAAATGAAAGGAATTATGTTCAAAATGTGTTTGGACGCTGCAGAGAACGGACGAGAACAGACTAATATATTGTATATATGGATTTATCTGGTATGTTTCTTGGTACCCACAACGATCGAAGGTCACCTAGCTTGAAATACCTTGAAACCTGTAGGTTACTTCAGGCTAGTGTATAGCTGTGTTTTGGTTTGCGAAGGCTTGAAGACACCACAAAAGAAACACCAGGAAAGGCACCCCGTGCCGGCCATGGAGTCTAAGGACCCACGTTACCCATACCTCCCCCATGTGGATACAACGGTCGACCCTAGACCCAGGTAGGGAGGTATGACCCTCCAGTCCCTTGGGCCTAGCCCCTCACATCTCCAAACACCCAAAACTGATCAAGACTGGGTGTGCTCATCCCTTCTTCTCTGTCCATCGAATCCCGTTCACCGGACTTCATCCCACCTTTCCGCACGCGCGAGCGGATGCTCTCAGCCTGCGGACGCACGCTGAAGGCCGAAACAAATGCGCACCGCGCTGTGCTGGCGTTTTCTGCTGGTGTTTTTTCTCCCAAGTTCGTCATGGGATCTGTTGACTGACTACTCAGCATACAACATATAATTATGTCTAATTCCCTCAGTTGCCTCACTGTCGACTCGTAGAACTTCTTTATATACATACAAAAAAACAATGTTTGGTTAAATCACTTCCCCAGATGCAGGATCCTCAAACTGGTCCTCTAAACATTGGACCCAAACAAAAGAAATCCAACAAACAGTCGCGGATGCAGATCCATTCAACACGCCTGCGTTTCGAGGACTTCGGTCATCTCGCCCACTAAGCGTTCCAGCTCGCCGTTCCGCATGGCGTTCATCATTCCTCGGGCATCACGCATTTTCACCGTCCACCTCCCACGAACCTAATGGTTGAAAGGACCAATCGCCAAAAAAATGATGCATCTTTGTATACCTGTTCCAAAGTAGTAAGACTAGACGGATCGAGCGGACCGTAATGGACCGTATTTTGCCACCCTGCGCCGGGACCCCTTCTGCGAACGGGGTTCGTTTCGCAGCCTCCCTCTGTGCGCACCAAGGCACCTCGGCGCATCTTCGCGGAGATCTCCCGGAACTGGGCAGCTTTGGCCTCGAATTTCTTCTGCGCGGAGTCCATCTCCTGGCAGATCTGCGAATCTGAGGGCTTCGGTGAAGGGCGGGCAGATGGGGTGGATGCTTGGAAGCAGAAAGGAGGTCGTGTGACCGAGACCGCGCTTTGACTTGTTTCCAAACTGTGGGGGCTTCCCAAAGGAGGCCAAGAAAGCTGGGTGGGTGATTTGAATTCAAAAGCTTGGTCACGTGACTCCGCATGAGTCATAGGTTTTTGGAAACGTCTTTGCTCAGTCAACTTCAAAGGCAGGCATCTCCACTCCTCTGCCAAGAGTTGAAGTTCTCCCGATCGTTTCATCTCCTCAGTGGCGCGATCTTTCTACGACGCCCCATCCTTTCTTCTGCGGTGTGGGGCCCAACATGAAGTGCATCGCTAGTAGTAACAAGTGCATCGCTAGTAGTAACAAGTGCATCGCTAGTAGTAACAAGTGCCTTACTAGTAGTAACAAGAAGCTACTAGCAACATATTTAATATTGCTGTTTACTTTAGAGGAAATCACATCTGTTCCAGCCCAACAGCAGAAAGAGATCAATATTCAAATCAACGTCGCCTTCTTCAAGCCAGAAAGCCCACCCCCAAAAAAGTACAAAATACTTTGCCTGCGGCGGCAATAGTGTCCCGTCTCCCTGCGGTCTTTTGAAGAGGCCTCATGTCTTTTGCATACATGGGGCTTGTTTCTGAACGAATTGATTGCAACCACACAGGCCTTCGTCTTTGACTGAGTACCGCTCCAATGCAACCCCAATCGAGGAAAGCGCATCAGAACAAAAACGTGGCTCCCAGCACAAAGGCGTGCTGCTAGATACGCAAAAACACCTGCCTTGCTGCGTATAAAGCGTGTTTTGCACGGCAGCTGTTGCCGTCGCCCAACTGTGTACCACCCCCAGCCCCAGAGATTGAAACCCGACTGCGTTCTGTTGTTGTGAATTTTTCACCTTGGATGCTGCTGCACTCAATAGCACCTTGGAACTGTGGAGCCTTGGCTGCTGGGTGGTGTTGTGCAGGGCAAGTACGGTCAACAGCAGTTTTGTCAATCAGGCGAGAACTTGTTGGCGCTGCTGGTGCGGCCGATGAATTCAGATCAGCTAGAAGATCATCGCAGACTGAGGGTTCTTGTGGACACACTTGAACGTTAGCAACGCATAGTTGGAGTGTTTTAACAGTTCCAGTCAATTGAGTTGCTACCTGCTGTTGGGTCGCAAAGCTGGGTCAATTCTTTCGAAACAACGACCACCAAAAAATTCGAGGATGGAACTCGGGCTTTGCAGCAACGTGAGCAAAATATGCACCACACCCTGTCGACAGAGTGCCCAATGTTCCAGACAGCACCCACCGTTCCAGGATCTGGCTTTGCAATGGTATGCCCAAACTATGCACCACATCCTGTCCAAGGGTTCCAGACATCAGTTCCAGGATGAAATTCCAGCTCCCAGGCATGAGATTGAAACCCAACTGCGTTCTGCTGTTGGGAATTCATTATATAATATCATATACAATATAATATGTCACAATATCTCGCATAAAGGAAACAACAAAGGAATGCTTTTAGGTCAACCTGATGGAACCCTGTCTAATCTTGACTACTCTTAACATATCATGCTCTTTTAACAAGCTCTTAAACTACTCGTCAACAGAACGAAACTACTAACCAACTCATACTCACTCACAACCACTCATCACTACTCAGAACTACTCATAATCGCTTTGAACCACTCATGACGACTCCACACTACTCATAACCAGTGCTCAGGGTGTGCGCCAGCATTTTAAGATTGATGGCAACCAAACTTGTACCGATTTGGTGGTCCAAAATGGCTCAAGAGGAGTGGCATGAAGGGGAAACAGTTGTCATATGTTGCCATGTATAAATCAGGTTGCCAGCTCACCCCCTAGGCTGAAGCATGGCGATCTCGATAGGAGGTGTTGGGGCTTTGGGCTATGGCACGCACTCAAATCTGATGTAGGTTGAACGCAACCCCTGGCTATTGGTAGCTTGACTCCTATCGTTGGGCCAAACGTTTGATTGCCTCCTACATTTACATACGCTGCAAAGACTAGTGACTAGATGTCAAAACAAATGCCAAATCAGAATGATATACATAATATCAGGTGTTGGGATACGTTTGGGAGTGTACCTAGGGCATGCTTTCCACAAGATAATTCTGCAGTGAGACCCTCTTTATATCTTTATATATATATATATGTTGTATATTTTGTTTTACCTCTTGCTTGTGCTCCACGTCCTCAAGAAGGACCTCCCTGTGTCTCCAAGGCAAGTCTCTAACAAGCTCTGCAGGGCGCGCTGCTTCGCCGGCACGGGCGGGCGTTGGGAGTGGTCCTGGCTCGATGACTGGTTTCACTGGTTTGGGGCCAGGTACCCTTTCTTCAACCCTAGCAGGATGGCAACAGCTCCTCGACGGCCTGATGTTCAGTCACATTGGCCCGCATCTCCTGAGAGTCACAGTGAAGGTCCGATCCCAAACAAGGACCAAGAGCTTCTGTACTTGTATGTGCCCCTAAAAACATGCCGTGTTTGAGGTGAACTGTTTTTTCTTGACAAGGAACAACTTTCCAACAAAAAAAGAACGGAATCTGTAACATAGGCACCATCTGGTGAGGGATGTCCTCGTTTGGCAAACCATACTTAGGGCTATGGCAATTGGAAACTGGGGGTGGAGTGTGTTCGGGAAACTGAGTGTTGCTAACACTGACAACTTGCGTTGATATAAACAAACAGACTGTCATGAAATGCCTCTGGACTTTAGCCTCTGACTGGTCTTATGCACTCCCGAAACTTTTCACTGAAGTCTAGCTGCTCTACGCACTCCCTGTACTTTGCAAGCAAATAAGCAAACATAGTTTCTCGTGATGCCCGCGCAGGGCCTAATCTTTCGTGCAGGCTGGCAGGGCACCCCTGGAATTCAAGAGAAAAATGAGAAAGCTGTCCTGCGCCAGCCGGTCCAGCTTCCCCTGGCGCTTCATCCGTAGCAAACTCTCCAGTGCACGTTCCTTGAGTCGCTGAAAGTCGTCAGCTCGGCGCTCCACCTGGGCATCCACAAAAACTCTTTTGCCCCTAGAACGAAATCCCAATTCCTTTGTGTCATTCAAACCAACGCATCTTCAACTTCTTCAAGTCGCCAAACAACTAACTAAAAAACACACATGATATGTGAGAATATGTGATAAATTGTGATCTTTCTTTCTTCCAACCGGTGACCCTCCGCGGCTTAACTGACATATTGGCACCCGACTTCACCGGCTCGTACCCGTATGACTTCACGCGGCGCAACACGCTGCACGCCTCGGACGCCAGCTTTTCGGCCACCGAGGGCAGCTCGTTGCTTTGGAGCTCCCCACTGGCGCTTTGCAGCTCCTCGAAGCGCTCCTGGGAGGCCGCTTGAGGTGCGAGGAGGTGCGAGCTTCAGGTGGTTTTTTGGGTGTGAACTTACTTGATGTCTGTGGAGTGAGGTTCACAAATTCACTACAGGCTCCGGGAAAAACATACTGTATATTACAGTATCAATCCATGCAGTCGCTTTCTCTACCCAAGTCTACCCGGTACACAGACCTTTTGGAAGTTCTATCCATGTCACTCGCGCCATCTTCACACGGCTAAAGCTGCTCCGTGCAGTGCAGGATTGGTATCGTACTGGATTAGTTGGAGCTTTGGCAGCGGCTTTGGTGACTTAATTACTGTGTGAGAGGGATCGGAAGTCCATGCATCATGCATTTCTGTTGCTTTGGACGACATATCATATACAGTAAGATACAGTACACCCTGCATCACCCTGCACCTTGCCTTAGCTGCAAACGCCCCTGGGATCAAAACAGCTCCAACCGCTCAGAAGATTTCACCTCAATTTTTTCAGAGCAACAAGGCTACCCTGCATCAGATCTTACTACTTGCCGCTGAACAGCAAAACTGGAGGTGTTTGAACAGGTGCCTAATCTTGGGACATCTGCCAGCAAAGGGAGGTGACCTTTGGGCTTCGCGGCTTGGCCCTTGCCTCCAAACTTGCAGCGTTTGGGCTGTGTCTCAGCAAAACCCACAAATGTTCATCACTGTTCCTTACTCTGATCCCTTAATTACAAGACCAGGCGGGTCTATGGCCCAGCATTCCCCAGTCGGTCCTTCAGAGCTTGAAGGTCAGAGGGCATGTCTTGTTGTTCCCGCCGCAGATTCTCCAGGAGCGCCTGCAGCTTCCCTGTCCTGCAGAGATCACAGGTTGAAGTCCCGGCATGAAGATGAAACAGCCTCATCTGGTAGTGAAGGGACTTCACGAGGCAGTGAAGGGACTTCACTTTTCTATTTCTGGTCAGTGAAGTCGTCTCTTATAGGTCTCCAGGTCTGCATTTGAAGCTACAGAACATGAGACAGATTTGGATGCAGTGTTCCGTGAGGGTATGGCCAAGAACACCGAATGTGTTTCTTTTTTGTGTGTGGACTCAAAAAACTATCTGGCCTCATTCCGCTTGAGTAGATTTAACAATGTCATGCTGTGTAGTCTCTTACCCCAAGCTCCATTGGAACAATGCTGCCTTATAGTTGAGCGAACAATATTGAATGCCTTCAAAGGGAGGTACTCGTCTGGGGCCCCCCCACACCTGCCTGGAATCAAACACGGACACACCCACAAGATCTCAGGAATATTGACGATTACCATCGATTACCACCAGCGGTCCATGATGCACCTGACAGAATATGATCACACATGTTTTAAGACTGGCCGGATCTGTCAGATCATTGATTATTGATATTAGTAACAAGTGCATCGCTACTAGTAGCAAGAAGCTACTAGAAACAAGGGCATGGCTAATAATAGTAACAAGGGCATTAGTAGCAAGAAGCTACTAGACATCCTTTCCTCTCTCAACCGATCAATGACCGCGACACCCGCTCCTGTTGGCCTGCAGCAGGCTCCAGAGTGGTCGACGTGGCCGCCCTGAGCTCGTCCCAGTGAAAAAGGCATTGTCTGCTCGGGCAACCAATTGATATTCAATTGGACTCAAATTATTTCAATTGATATCCAATTGATATTCAATTGGAGTCCGCTGCTCAATCTTTATGAGAGCATGTCATCAATCACCCCCCCGAAATCGGACACTTGCTAGGTCGCACTCAGATATCCTCGGTCCCGCTGCTGAGTTGGCCATCGGTCTGTCTGGCCTTGCTTCAGAGCTCCAGGCGCCCGGACCATTCCGGGGGCTTGGAACTTGAGCATCCGCATCCTCAGATGGCTCCGTAGCTGGCTGCCGAGTCGACCAACCCAAGCTCGGTTGGTACAATCACATGGACTGAGTGCCAATGGTACACAAGCCATACACTGTGTAGACGGTTGATGAATGAAGCCCCCTCCATGAAGAGGTCTCATAATCCAAATGGCGGGGAATATTGGATCAACAGTCGACATTACGCATCAATGCAGCCCGTGGAAGTTGCTGGTCACAAGACCATGAAGGGGTTTTCTCACTTGGTTGGACATTGTATTTGATCGAGATAGCTAGCTTCTTGCACATGCCGTGCCTGGGCCGGCCTCGTGTTCAAGCCACAAATGTCTCTATCCATCTTGACCGTTCTAGTTCTATCTGGATGTGGAATGCTTGGGTGTAGTTCAGCAGGTTTGGGACACCAAACTCCTGAACCCGCCCTGCTTACTCTCCCGCTCACTAACATGGAAGTGGAAAACCCCTGTTCATAAGGAAAGTAGTCTTCCAAGGGACATTTTCCACTTCCGTGTTCTGTTAGTGAGTCAGAGTCCCCCCAAAACAGCTCATTCTAAGGGCAGCCGATGGAATTCTTCCAAAAGGCCATGAACGGACGGGGCGGTTGAAAACGGCGCCGTGTGGCTCATGCCCGTTGGAGCAAAGGGCATCGCTACTAGGAGCAAGGACGCTACTAGGGGCTCCTGGCCGTACTACTAGGAACAATGTTTGCTATTAGAAACAATAAATAATTAGAATATTTTATCCAATTAGGACATCCTGCTATTGGACCACCAGTGCCGGATTGGAACACAGGAAGACTGTGGAGATCTGTGCAGACAACGTGTACACATCAAAGGCAGTAATGTCAGCGTGAAGAGCACAACCAGCTTGAAGAACAACTCAAACACCACATACCCCCTAGTCGGTCTGGCACAACAAATCTGCCCAGCTGCGTGGGCCGAATCTGCAAAGGTTTCGGGTGACGCACCTTGGCTGCAGAAGACGGCTCAAGTTACTGTAATTCACCAGAAAGTAGATGGAATCCGGGATATACGCAAAACAATTGTTCAGTTGAGTATGGTCAGTATGGTCATATATAATTTTCTACTTGTGGATGACTGCAAAGCATTAGAAAATCCTTGGCAGGGAAACATCACCAAGACCTGTGGTAGATACTTATTGGGGCCAAAACAAACCTGCTCTGCACTGTTCATGGACAAAATCTAACAATCCAACTGGGATAATTACACTGACAATCACGGGGACGGATCTTCTTTCTGTTCAACTGGTTGGCCACCAAACGACCTGAAACGAAATCTTCAACGAAATCAAGTGCGACCAGACTTGTTCAATCATTAAAACTGAGATTTGGAGTCAATTTGGAGGCCCAGCATCTTTCAAAACGAACACTTATATACACAAGTGGACACCTCAATAATCCTCAAACCTCCAACAGCACTCTGCTCCCTGGGCGCCCATGCCACCGCCACGGTGCTTTGGGCGCCGGTAGCCGCGGGTCCCACGGCCCGGGCGCCGGGCCGGGCGACTCCGCCCTGGAGGCGAAGGTCTGGAATCTGCAGAATTCAGTGCCCATGCCCCTAGTAGCTTCTTGTTACTACTAGTAAGGCCCTTGCTCCTAGTAGCGTGGCACTTGTTACTACCAGCTTATTGTTTCTAATGGCTTCTTGTTCCTAGTAGTAAGGCACTTGTTACTAGAAGCGATGCACTTGTTCCTAGTAGCTGTATCAGCTGTATCATGTTCATGTCTTGTTTGTACCAAAATAGGTGGTTGTGGTTGTCCGACTGTCCTTGTCGCAGCAAAACAATGACTGCCTCAGGATGCGGAATACAGTACGGTATACATATATGTTGGTGATAACACTGAATATGAAGAGAATACGCCCAGTGGTCTTGAAGTGGTTATGACTACGCAACCTCATAGCACAATGGATGAATTCAGACACCCACATGCCCCTAATCCCGAGCTGAATCAGAACACTCCTGCATGGTTTAAAAGCAGGAGGCGAAAGCGCTGGCGTGGTTCTCCCATCCCACTGATGCTAAAGATCAGGACGGACTCCACTGCGGGTGCAGCGCCAGAAACTGCCCTCACCTTCGTCATCGTCAGCATCATGCGCCTCCGAAGAGGAACTTTGGCTTGATGCACCTCCGGAGTGCTCTCTGGACATTTTGGTAGATGAAGTGGCGAGAGAGCTCTCGATCTCGCACTGAACAAACAAAAGTGGGCAGCACCCAGTTGGAAAAAGCCATTAGTGTGTAGAATTTGTAAAACTCTATTGGGTGAGTCAACCAAGTTGTCACTGACAAATGATACTAAATGACCTGACACTTCGTCACCTGACTCGGCATTCTGGCGGGGTGCGATCCTGGGATCTACCAACTTAGGTCGTTGGTCTTTCACTTGCTGGATTTTGCATAGTTTCAAGACCAGCAATGAAGCTTTACTGACTAAGCCGACTAGCCGATCTCCTTGAATCGTTTGCCTTTCTTCAAACCAGCCAGATGCTGTGACCAATGGTCCAACATGGTCCAACTATGTCCAACTCGAGGTCATCTTCGCGCCGGTTTTGCGTTTTGCGACGTTGTGTTGGGGCACCTCCTTTCGCCAGACCGGGTGGTGGTGTTGGGTCCTGGAGGTGAACTGCCAGTCCGGGAGCTTTGGTGGACGTAGGGCGCCCTTAGGGAAATCCACCTCCATCTCGTCGGATCAGTCTATTGCCTGTTTGGCGTGTGGATATGGCGACATCCATGGACGACTCGCTCTCTGCATCCAACCGGTGAGCCCTGTTTGGCGTCGCTCTCGGAAGCAGTCCTCACAGTTGGCCCTGATGATGTCCTGGCCGGCATCGGCGGCTTCGTACGGGGCTGAAGAATGGGAACGGAAACGAATGGAAGGACAAAGATTCGAGCCATTTTTTTCATGTTCAGTAGCAAACAAATGATTTTTTAGTCTACAGGCGCGGTGGGATAGCCCATCCAGTGGGAATGATACGGCAGTTCGAAACAGAACGGCCTGTTGCATATCTCCAACTACATCACTGGATGACACACTACACTGATTGATGTCAACGCACTTCCGGAATCTTCAACGCCTCGAAACGGCTAATTACTATACCATTGAACCACTTCGATACCATTGAACCACAGAAGTGGCAACACCCACCCTGTTCTGTTCGATCCTTTTCCACCCACCACTGTTCGATCTGTATGAATGAAGTCGGCGCATCAGTCCTCTAAGACCGCTTCCGCCAGCCGAGCTCCTGAAATCTACATTTCATCCATCCAATGCCGTGCAGCGAAACGCAGTTCGTAAGTTGGAGGATGCTGGTGGACCTGCGCATGTCAACCACATAGAAATTCGACATGAGAGTGACAGCTCAAGAGAGTGAACCTACAGGGCTCCCCCTCCTAAGGCTCTCCTGTTAAATGTACCCGGGCACTACCCCCATCAGCGCGGTCCTTTCTCATGTTCACAAGGTTGTAACACTTCCTGCTGATCTCGATGGCTCAAGGTGGTCTGAGTTTGAAGGCATGCATTCCGAAGAATGGTGATAGAAAGAGTACATGGCGAAGCCTTTTAACAGTCTGAAGTTGGCAAGGACGAAATGACCATGTTCATGCCAGGCTCACCGCATAACTGAATCTGCCGAAGGAATCGGAGAGATGCCGCGCGGCCTGGCTCTGATTCTCCAACTCTTTCAATGCCTCTTGCACCTGACAAGAAGCTACGAACGTAACAAGGACACTATTAGGTGGAGGCCATCACAAGTAGGTTGGAGGCCATCGCTACTGGTAACAAGAAGCCATTAGGGGCTCCAGGCATCGCTACTAGGAGCAAGGACGCTACTAGGGGCTCCTGGCATCGTTACTAGGAACAAGAAGCTACTAGTAACAAGAACTTTCGGGAAGTTGATTCTCCATTGATTGTCGCATCAAAAAAACCGTCAACACTGACCCGAAGGCGCCTCCTGCCCCACCCCGAGACCCACACAATCCACTGCGAAGCACGTTTGGAACAAGGGCTGAAGTCCCAAGGATTCCACTGGTTGGACTCTTGACACAAGTGAACTCGCCACGCAAGCCCTTCGCCAAGATGTTCCGTGCTGCTGAATGAGCTTTTGGTCTTCAGAGGAAATCAGCGAACTATGGCGAAGGGGTTCAGTGATGTCACCTGCAAAAAGAAAAGAACTTGTTGCAAACCACAAAAAGGTCTCCATGTTCCAGGCGGGCCCTCGAATCCACACCAAAGCCCTCACCTTCACGGAGATCTCTTCTGGGTCTGAAGCCTTTGGACAAAACGACATGATGGGTGGCAAAGGTAGGCACTGGAGGCGGGAAGGGCACATGGAAACGGTCCAAACTTAATTGATCTACAAATCACCTGGGGCTATCTGGATGGAAGGTCATAGGCTTAATAAACTCTTTCATTGGAGAGAGCCTGTTGTCATTGTATTTTCTTTAAAGTCAAAACAAGTCAGTCCCAAAAGTCAAAGTCAAAAAAGAGTCAAATCAAAAAGTTTCAGAAAGTTAAAAAAAAAGAACATTTGCCCAGATCCGACTTGTTCTTTGCTGTTTTGACGTGTTTCGACGTTTATTTTGTTTTACTTTTTCGAGTGGTTGACTTTTTTTGACATTTTGTTTGACTTTTTCGAGTTGTTTTGTAATTTTGACTTTGTTTCGACTTGTTTTGATTTTTTTCGACTTTTTTTACTTTTTGTTTAACGTTTTCGAGCAGTGGTCTATGATTGACTTTTTGTTTGACTGTTTTATATATGACGTGTTTTTGACTTTTCAATCTGACGTTTTGTACTTTGACTTTTCCATTTGATTTTTTTGTGCTTTCTTCGATTTTTTAAGTCAAGGATTCTGGCCTTACCATATGAAAGATTTTTATAATCCTGGACGTACCGTACAATACCATCCGTGACGTACCAATACCTTCTGTGGCTCCAGTTTCCTAGTGCAAAGTTGCGAACCATGGCATGTCATGAAGTGAAGCATGGGCGACCGACCATCCGAATCGACGAATCAACGATCGAGTGGGTAGTATGTGGGTCGAGCATGGAAAACCTACTGATCCACTCATTCACTGGACTGTGAGCAGTTCTGATGGTTGAAAGATGTTGAAAGACATCCAGCGATCATGCCCTGGTACAGGAGATCTGTCCATGCGAACTGTGCAAACAACCGCGATACTCACCGCGATATATCGCGATATAAGAGTTGTTGTTGTGCAGCCAAACACAAACTATACATACAGTACCAGAAAAAACTGCACGTAAATATACGTAAATCATACCTGAGCGGCCCCGCTCGGTAGAAACTGCCGGGTAACCCAACACGAAGAGAAGTCATCCACATCAGAACCCACGGTCGCCAAAAACTCGCATCCGAACGACGTACGGTTTACCGGTTTACCGCCTTTTAATCGAAAAACAAGTTTACCTCTCGGCCCAGTCGAAATCCTCCGAAAAGAAAGGAGTTTGGTGCGAAGAGTGAAGCCTTGAAGACCGAGAGAGCCATGTCTCAGTTGAGTGAACAGGGAAGCCTGATGTAGAGAATGATGATCTACCCGACAGATCCCGACAGATGCATTCATCATTCACCTGATGGAGTAAACAGTCCCTACCAGGAGCATCCAATGGGTGTCCGATGGAGATCCCTACAGTAAGTACTAAGTAGTGTAGGGCGTAGGGTAGTCCATTGGACGCCCATTGGATGCTATTGGTACATTCACCTGGATCATCCTGGATCCAATATGGACATGATGATCCACCCAACTCGAAAACACGGAAAACGTCTTCTATAAAGGCCGCTCTGACCTTCAACCTAGAAGCGATGGCCTCCAGAAGATTCAATCCGATCAGTCAACCATGCGGTCAAGTCTTGTCTCCAAGTCTCGTCCTTTTCAGACGCCAAAGGTGCTGCGATTGCGTCTGTGAGTCTTCTTAACCGTTTTGCAAGATCTGCCGTCACCGCGCCGCTCTTTGGGTTGCACGGGCACAGCAAGTTTGACACGTGATCCGAAGAAGGTACTGCGCAAAGAACACTCGAGAAGAGCTGAACTTTTGGGTCCTTCTGCATGTGGTTGGAGATATCTCCTGCCTAACAGCACATAGTTGCGCAGAATAGCGATCTCTGGATCACTAAATTTGAAGACAACTAAGTGTCTAAAACACGAGCGTGTCTTAAACTGTTACAAGACCCCGGCCCAAAGGGGCCTCTGCCTCTGCATTATTCATGCACGCATGATCTTGCCAGCCCGAGCGGCTCGAAAATTGGCACGGCGGATGATGGTGTGATATGGTGTGTCCACTGGTGTGTCCTCATCGTGTCCATCCCAAATCCTTCAGCCTCTTTTGGCGACTTTGCCTCACCCACGCCACCAATTTCTTGGGAGTATCTTCCACAGCCTCTAGGAACTCGTCAAGGTTAACCACATGTCGAGCATGTGTCCTGAAGCATGGTGGACCGGGCACTCCCTTCGGCAAGTGGATCAAGGTGTAAAAGGAGCTTCTGGGCGTCTCAGGAAGGGAATCTTCATCCGCTACGACACATGGATCCTCCACCTGCACCTCTTCCGGCTTCTGAGGTGCTGCCAAAGAGAGACCTTCACCTGGCGCCATGACCATCCCGGTGTCGCACCTTGAACCAAAAAGGGCTCGAATCAAGATCGTTGCTGATTGGATCTGATTGGTGCAATTACCTTACATGCTATTTATTGCACATACACAGCCTCGGAGTCCATGAAGGGATGCTCTGAATTGACTCTGAACCGATATCCGCCATATCCTGCCATCATCATGAAGAATCTTACTACCATGGCAATGCAAACGTGATGGTGTACATGGCAGGCGCTTCAGGTCAAGTTGACCCCCCTTGCATGGTGTACCTGCTCGCAAGGTCGGACTTCGCGGAAGAACATGAAGAACAATGAATCCGAAGCGGCGCTCCGCCCCTAGTAGCTTCTTGTTACTACTAGTAAGGCACTTGTTACTAGTAGCGATGCACTTGTTCCTAGTAGCTTCTTGTTTCTATTACCATTGGAACCAGCAGCACCCAGTTCAGGTGGTTACTGGACTGGACGAATATACTGGGAATCACTACCGGCCTTGAAGTATCCTGGACATAGGCAAGTCCAATGGGAACCTGTTAGATGGTAGTGGAGTAGTGGAGTGATGTGTTGGGGAAACCGCTTTTTCTGAGACGCTGAGACGAACATGCCACTCTGCCATATCCAAACAAAGTCCTCAATCCAACAGTAGAAATGGGTGGTCTCCCCTGCAAGGTCCAAAACCCTTTGTCTTTTGTCCACCTCGTTGTGTGTTTCCAACATGTGTTCCAAACCATCGGGTTCCTGTGCGGGGTTCGTCTGCCAAAACAATTCGGCACCTCATCAGCCCCTTTGACGACTCCCCAATCTCACCGCACCCGCATGGTCTGGGGACCGAGGACCCCGGCATGGTCTGGGGCCTCCCAAAGATGCCGCACACGCTCCAAGGTCTTGCGCCGGCAGATGGCCTCAAACCTCGCAGGGCTAAAAGGGGCTGTAGTGGAACACAGCTGACGAGCACCAAAGAATCTGAAGGTTCGCATGGGCGCGTGTTAACAAAAAAATACTGTACAATGGGCAAAGCGTCCAACCAGCAGGTGTTGGTTTTGTCTTCCTTTTGCCAGGGAGCCCTCAAGGTCTGCCTCTGGATCCATGCTAATGGGTGGCGCGTGGGATTTCTTTCCTTTTACAAGTTTACAAAGATGATGAAGTAATGAGTGAGATGACGGAAAAACACAGATTCTTTACTTAATCCAAGTAACCCTTGTGCTGACCACCTCTAACCCTACCACTTCCGATACAGAAGTACATAGAAGGTACCCATGGTGATCCATGGTGGGGGAGTCGGGACGATAAGACCGCCGAGTGGACTGAGTGGAGATTTGTCTTTTGAAAGATTTGTCTTTTGATTGGTTCAAGCCATTCACATCCAATGCTTTAAACCACGGTAATCATACAACATATATATATATATGATATATATATATGTGTATATATGTATTAGTATTACATAATATATACGAATCATTACGAATCCATATCATATCCCCTGATAAACACCAAAATATCCATGCTCCAATCGCCTGCCATAGAAGCCCTTGGGCTTCTCTGAGCTGAAGTCCCGCAAATGGCCTTATAGGGCAAGCCGGTGCTACTTTGGATGAATAAATGTCATAATGAAAACTGGGTCGGAACCGTAGGTTGAAAATGTGATTGAGGCTCAAATTGGGAAGCGCAGCTTCCACAGATTGTACTGATTCTACCGCAAGGATTGCCGCTCTACATTCACCACATGACATTCCAAACTACCTCTGTGTTCGACTGTTGAGACAATAAATTTATGATCATTGTGATCAAAAAGAAACTGACCTCGAAGCCAAAGTTCTCCATCCCACCGTGTCTTGAATCTTGAACCACAGGGGATGACAAGGTAGTAGCGTCTGATCGCTCCGTTCGAGTCGCGATGCCCTTTGCTCCATTCGTAGCGTCCGTCTTGCTCCGTTCGTAGCTGATGCCGTTTGAGCCCCTTACTCGTCGCGTCCGACCGCTGTCCTCCCAAGGCGCCCGTCTCGACCTCTCTCAACCTCTCGACCGACCTCCGCGCTACCAAAGGCGCCAGCGGAATCGCTTCGGGCTCCCCGACCACTCTCCAGCTCCACCCGCTGCGGACCTTTTTCGCGCGTGAAGCGCAGGAAGAGCCCGCGAACCTGAGACAGATCAGCAAAGTGCAACATGTTCCTCGGTTTCCCTGGACGATCAAGGTTTGACCCTTTTGTTGTCCACCTGTTGGATTCAAACATATTTAAACCAATCCCTGAAAAAGGTTAAAGGCTAGCCACTGCCTGGGTAGGTCAACAAGCATTGAAGTAAAGCAAGCAATTGATCGGGGACTGCAAGAGGAGCAAGATGTACATCAAAGTCTTTGCTTTGGCTGGCTGCACCAAAAGAGAACCTCCTATGTTATCCCTGGTTGCAATCGGGAGCTCCCCCTTAAACAGTTGTAATTAAAGACCTTTACCATCTAAGGTGACGTTGGCCACTGAACAGAGACGGCTCAATGGATTCAGTTGTATATAGTGGCATGAAAGCAAGCCGTGTGATCTCATACCTCATGTTTACTGAACATTGGTGGGAACCATCCAATGACTTGCAAGGTCCTTCACACCTTCTAGAAAACAACAAAGAGTCTCTGGGATCAGCTGCACATACCGAAATGAAGCAAACCCTTCCAAAAGACTGCTGTCTTTCCATGATTGAAACCAGGGAAGTTTCATTCAATCCGCTGCGCTGAGCTGGAGCTCCGATGGTTTCTGAGCCTGCACTCACCAGATCACCAGGCTCTTTGTCTTTCCGGCATGTGGATTTAAAGGTACACTTAAGGTCTGATCAGCCGGCGAGAATATTACGAACGCATCACATCACATCAAAATGCTTTCACGGAACAACAACCCAGTTGAGTCTTTTGCTGTAGGCATGAACAATGCAACTCTTATGACCCTTCTCATCCCCTATTCAACACGACCCCTGGGGATAAAACCGGTTGAAGGCCATCGCTGTCGCTAATAGGTTGGAGGCCATCGCTATTAAAAGGTTGGAGGGCATTGCAACAAAAATAAACATCAACAACAAATACAAATATCACCATTTCCATCTAAGGCCCCCAGCCCAGTCCAAACGGAAGGCCCCGGGAGCGCCGCGGCGCCCAGGGTGCGGAAAACGGCCATTGATGCTGGTGTATACCAGCGGAGCTCCATAGCCTAGGTGCCAAGGAGGTTGATGGAAGATACCTTCATATACCTTCCCACCGTGTTTGATGCAAAAAAAGTCAGGAACATCTGGAGGTGTGATCTACTCCCTCTAGCATGCGTATCCCAATAGAGCTGCACACTCCCTCTTGACATGTGGGTCTGTTCCACAAAAGGGTTCACACCATCCATTTCTTTAAACATTTTGGAGGGAGGGCAAGATTTCGCCCAGCAAGATTTCAGCAATGAACGAACCTGTCGATTTGGATCCTTGATTTCGCCCAGCTTGACGATCGGAAGCTTGCAGGGTGGTATCCCCTCGATGATCCAACCCCTTTCTTTCGTATTGTGAGGACTGAGTCCATCAGTCCATCAATGCCAGGAGGGTTTGAAGTCCCAACGATTTGGGTTTGTTCCGGCCACAGTTGCCTCGTGCTGTTCGCTTCCATTGCTCAAGTCCAAAACGAATCTCCCCGTGCAATTCAAGAATTCCTTTGGCTGACCAGCAAATCCCAAAGTCGGCAGCTCAAGTTGAAGGCATGTCCCTTTTCTATCCTTTTCACGCACAAAAGGCTCTCAAGTGATGCCTTCGACTCTCTAACACACTCACTCCCTGTCGAATTCAAAGTGGCCCCAGTCTCCAGAGATCTCCAGGAGTTCCAACAGCTGCCCTTCAAAGGTCACCTCGATGCGAAGCCCAAGCCGTGCAGGGGAACGACCGTATTGTTTTTTGCGGTTTCAGGATAGACATCGACGGGAAAATCCTATTTTAATCTATTTTATGTCACCATGAGATGCAAACACAACACCTCAACACTCACAGTAAGGATGCCGATTGGGAGATCGAAGGGTACTTTCATCCTGTTTAGATGTTAAGTGATCCTGAATGATCCTGACATATTTGGACGCCCTTTTCGGTGTCTATCCTGGTTGGTCGTCTTTTGAGGTCAGTTCCAACCGCTCAGAGGCGTCCGATGGAGTTCTCGGTCCCAGACGTTGGCAATCAACAACTTCAACTCTCGATGACTCTCTTCACCAAGCTCCTTGAGAGTCGCGACGTTTTCCGACTGAGAGAGTAATAAGGACCCACACCCTCTCCAGGGACAGCACCAGAGTATCAAGGAGAAAACCTATGGAACGTGGCACAATAAAACGAACCCTCTCCAAGTGCGAGAAAAAACATACATATTCTGGAAGGATATGTTTGAGATTGTTTGAGAACCGAAGTGATACACAACACAACTTAAATCGACTTAATCAACATCTTAAGTCTGAGTGTCTGAGGTCAATTGTCACTCGCTACGAGATGGCAAAACACGCAAAAAAATATGCGCCGTGGAAGGTTAAACTAAAACCAGTATATAGAGTCTAACCTGGTACCAGTTGGAGTGAGTGGATTGCTGATGTCTTCAGCTCCTGAGATCGCTATCATGTTGCATCTGAACAGAAATGATTTCAAATAGAGCATTGTCATATTCCCCTTGCAGCTTGCAAATCAATCCATCAGCAAATGTCACACAAGTCCAACATGAAAAGGCCATAAACTGCCCGCTTCTCCTGCTGAAACCTGTGATTGATCACAAAACCGAAACCTTTAGCGCCTTTAGGCCCTCTACAGGCTAGCGGCTAGCCTCTTAGCATCTCAGGTGTGGGTCTTTCTCCTTTCCCGAACCGGGACAGTCCGAAAAAACACCCCATCGGCGCTCCACCAAGCTCACCCGAAGCGGTCGCAGGTTCTGCCTCCAGTGCCTTGAGGTATTGCTGGTTGGCACACACAAACTGACGCCCAGAGGCACTCCTGGCATGGCAGTTGTGATCTGCTTGTGATAAGTGATAACAAAATGATTGATAAAGCAATCGGGCCTCAGGGTTGATGGTCCAAATTGATAGAAATGCTGTTCAAAGCTCTTTCTTGATGGCTTAACTGTCCATCGATGGTTTGCGTGTCGATCTTTCTTAATCCCCAACGAGGTGTTCCTTGGCGAGTTTCAGATCCAAGCAGCACCCCTGGACGAGCGTTTGCAGGAAAAAACGCGCGCTCGGAAAGGATCCGCCAAAGGAAAAAGAGATAGTAGCTTTATTGTTACTAGTAGTAAGACCAAGAGCTCCTAGTAGCGTCCTTGCTCCGTTCGTAGCGATGCCCGTTGCTCCTAGTAGCTTCTTGGGAAGTATAGTAGTATATATATAATAGAAAAGATTGGAAAAGTCTCTTCAGAGTTGGGACGCCAATCAAGCAACAAAACAACGTCAAGCAAGTGACAAAACCAGCTCCTGTGAAATGACTGAAAGGAGGGCATGGCATGCCAAGGGGTGTAGCAATCAATCTTAAGAGATGATAAGAAATATACACCTTGCATAACCTTGCAACATTGTCCAGTAATGACAATCGCTTGATGATCACGAGGACCAAAGCTCTTTTCAACCTCACCTTCTCCACTTGAAATGTTATGTTAAAGGTTCTGACTGAGCTGTTGGTTCCCAGTAACAACCATGGTTGCACATCTCTCCACATCCTCTACCATCCAACTGTCACATCCTTCCGCTGACTACTTGGATGTCCTCAAAAGGCCTTACCGCCAGGCTCAGGCGTGCGCTGGGAGCCAAAAGGCATGGCGCGGGCGTCCCAACTGAAGAGGCTTCTACCAGTCTTGTCATTTTTGGATACCCGTCTTAACAATACAATTGTTGCACTGCTTAACAGGACAGAATTCCTGTCTTCCGGGAGTCGCGGGGCACGCTCACAAGCCGTGGAGCGGTGATGAGCGGACATCTTTCAAGGAAAGACCATGTCTTTCCTCTTCATTGGGGCTATGCAGCTATGCGTACCATGTCCTTTTTGTTTGACGTTGGGCAACTGTTAGTGGGTCTAACAAGTTAATGCTCCTCTAGCCCCAAAGATATCTGTGATGTTCCCTTTTGAGCAGGGGGATATACATTATATGTAATATAGTGTTTGTTAGAACCTTATCTGCACTCCCCTCACTCTTCAGAAATCCAATTGCCCACCTTGCCCACCTTGCCACCTCGCCCACCAAGCCGTCCAAACCGCCTGAGTGCTTCCCTTGTTGCCAATGCAATTCGCGAAGCCCGTGGCAACCTGTCTCTGTGGATCGGCGAAAAGGGCGTTTCGCCGAACGACGATTGCCATTCGTGGGCTTACTCGGCTTATACTTATAGGGGGCCTCCTGCACGAAGAGACGGACCTACCGGGTAGGTACTTCATGGTACTTTCAATATCTTTCCATTGCAAGCCTCCATAAGCAAGTCAGAAAGCGAAACATAAACATGCAGCTAGCTGTTAGCTTACTGGTTATCTCAGGCTGTAAATGAACTTCAAAGTTCTGGGCGTCTGCCAAGTGTTCCGGAAGAGGTGACTGGGTCTGGCACATGACAGGTTTCGACCTCTGAGCAGAACCTCCACAAGGTCCGGTGAAGGAAGATCATCACGTGAACAGCACCTCATCTGGCGAGAAAGCATCAAACCTCACGCTCGCCAGGAGAAAAGGCTGGACAGGCTAGGCGGCTAGGCATCATGAATACAACAACCTCACGAGCACCAAAAACTGGACAGGCGAGGCATGGCAAAATTCTCACACTCAAAGATGTCTGGTACCTTACCTAAGCGCCCAAGTGCCTAAAGGTTTAAGGAAGACACCTTCCTTTGCACAAAAGTCATCCGAATTGATCCAAACCCCTCGTCCACTTGAGTCTCCAGCTCATTGTATGGGAGCCAATCATCTTGTAGTCCTGCTCTTTTCGCGAACTTTCGGTGCGGAAGGTCCAGGGCTGCAGGGTTCGATGCGACATGCCCCGCCTCTCCGAAATAGTCCTGCATCTGACGTTCCCATCGTGCCTGCACCCATAGGTGATCGTGAGCGAAAGTGAGAGGTGATGGATCGCTAGCCTTGGCCTGAGGAAGTGACAACTTCCGTTGGGGGTTCCATTTTAAAACAGCTTGTCTGGCAAGAACAAGGCCATTCTCGCAGTCTCCTTCCGTTACAGATTCCCAACCTGAGAAGCTCGTCGCCAAGCCCTTCCCACCCCTCCCAATGGGACTCGACTGGTCCATCGGGGCCTTACTGGACCAAATCAAAGATTTCTCGATGGAGCGCTCGCATTCACAGGTGCCGATGGCGTAGATGTGATGCCTCTGCAGAGTGGGAGCCCAGGGGTATGGTAGAGGTTGCAGCCTAGCCCTCAAGCTATGGCTGACCTTCTTTTCCTGGTGCCAGGGGTATGTTGATGTCATGTTGTCCAGCAAGCTTGGATATCTAGCCAACAGCGACACTTTGGATGGCTTTGCAGGGACGGAGGCATGTTTGATGGAGGCACGACCAAGTAGCACTTATAGCCATACACTGCATCATGCTTGGAGTACAGCAATCATAGGCCATTCCCAACTCAAACCACCCCCTTATTTTGAACACTCAATTCAGGGATACGATGGCCAAGCATGTTGACACCCCTAGCCCTGTGATCGTTGCATATCCTTGCAACTTCTCCCGGTGGCCGAGCCTGGTGTTGGTGGGGACCCAGGCATGCAAATCCGACGGGGCCTCAAGCACTTGAGGATGGAGAGAGCTGGCAAAGGGCAACACAGCCTTCTGATGGGAGGCTCACAACATTCCCAAACGATCACAAGATTTATGTGTCTTGGGAATTCACACTTCTGACCTGGTCATTCTGGCCTGGTTTATTGACAAAGGATGGTGTGCTTCGCTGGTGCAAAACCATGCAAAACCAAACCAAGATGACGAACGCACTGCCAAGCCATGTGTCATGCTTCTGAACAACTTCTGGGGTGTGTCAGGCTTCTGCCCCGAGTACAATGCCCTTGTTCCTAGTAGCTTCATCCTGTCCTTTAAGATTACCCTGATGCCTTCGTCCTCCAAGCTTCTCAGCCTTCGTCCTCCCCTCTCCGGTCGATCTGAAGCTCCCAGCGCGCTTGCCGTGCAAATTCCAGATCCCGCAAAAGACTCGGATGTCCTGCACACTGCACACAGCGGGACCCCAGGTTTCGGTGGCAGGACCCCAGGTTTCGGTTCCGGTGCACGAAAAAACCACGTGGAGGAACTTCCCACGGTGGAATGACCTTCTGGACCTCCAGTAACGTTTTGACATTTGGGCGTGTGCACTTGATTTCATATTCTTTCATGGTCTGCCTTAGAATGGCTGAGGATGTTTAGCTCATTGTCCTAGTTTGGGAGTATTTGAGCACACATTCGGTAACTGTTGTTGTTCTCCTTTTAGACTCCAAGAATCTCACTTGACCTCACTTGATCTTCTCCATCTCTTTACGGTTGTTGGCCATGGCTATGTTCATGTCAAGCTGTGCATGTTGTGGCGCCAAGAAAGACGCCCCCATGTGTGGCACATGCGCCCAGCGTCAATGAAGTAGTGTGTACCATCAGTGCTCGGCAGCGCAGCTTCGACGGTGCCTCTTCTTGATCCCCTTTGAAGGATGACACTTCCGCCTGCAGATGTGGCACTTGGGTGGTCGCTGCGTCGCTTGTCCCATCAGGTGACTTGAAGATCTTCCCATCTCCCAGACTGCGAGAGCCCAGCTCTTGGTGTTGCGGCTCTTGGCAACATCTGTTGGCACAACAAGAACTGTCAGACCTAATCCATCAATGTGTCAAGAACTTTGAAGGTGTTGGGTAGAAATTTGGGATAGCTCAGAATTCGCTCCGGATGCAGAAAAGCTGGAGCTAGTGCTCAACAAAACACGTATAGAACCTTGATGTGGGCATTATACACGTCCCGGTTGGACAACACGAGCCATTGCCAGTACAGCTTCTGGATCAAACCACCAGGATACTACTGGATCCAGTACAGTCCGTATAGTTCAGCAGACTCTCAAAAATCCTGGTGGCTTCAGCCGTTGTTGGTAAACCTGAGACTCCTCTGAACGTCTCGTTCACGAAGGCACCTCCTTCCACTGATGAAACGCTCTCTGCGCTGAGGGAGAAGTATCTGCCAGGGCCTCCTAAGCGTGAACACGTGAGAGAGGCCTCCCTCCTTCAGGGACGCCCCTTGTAAGGGGCGTCCGACTTGTCAACTCGGGGATCTGTCTCTATAGAGAGTCTATTCCATCAAAGGGCGAATGCGAGAGGGTCATCTTCATGGACATTTCGGGGGGTGAATGCAGGGGGAGGTTGACAGAACATCGACCAACCCGCAAGGGTTAACGATGTAGTCATACCTTCGCGCTCTTGCTTCCAAAATGTTGTCTCTTGCGTCCCACAAAAGGCGTTTTTGCAAATGTGACCCTATTCATCGTGGCTGGAAACGTTGGAACCTGGGCCATGGAAAACATGGAACACTGCAAGTTTTGTCCTCTTTTTGCTACCGCTTAGGGGTTTATGGATGAAATCGATTGCTGATACTGGCTGGTGCCCCTGGGAATCGAAAGGCCTTGGCCGAGTTGGGTTGGGCACGTCTCCTGGGACGACCACATTCAACCCACACGAAGCGCACGAAGCTGCCCTCACAATCCCTGAGACTTCTGTCACATCCACACGGCGTCTAGGGGCATCCCGGATTTCCCATGTTTCCCTGGGCTCCAAGCACGCAACTTCTCCTGGGGACTGACTCCTGCAGTGGATGCGATGTCAGTGCAACCCTCAAGTGTCCATATACAACACAGTCTGCATGTTTGCCGCCCCAGGAAAATGGTCCCCAAAAAATGCTGCCACATTCCACAATGGCAGTTGCAGCGCTTCAAATCAAATGACTTGTTTCTTTATGGACACGCCAGCAAAATTGCGTGACATACATAAATGTGATTAAGTTCGCCAGAGTTAGGAGGCATATACTGTAGAAGTTCAGGTCTCAATTTTGGACCCATTGCATTGGCATCATCTTGCAGTGTGCCACAATCTCCTGAGAGAGCGGACCTTCGGTTCAATTTGGGGAAAACAAAACAATCATGCGAAACTTCCATCTGAAAGCAGTTCAAAAATGTCCAAAGATCTGTAGAAGGATATAGAAGGTACATGGTATTATGTGGTATGCACCCGTGTCACGTGTCTCAGGCAAACGTGACACGGCGTACATGCGACAATCAGTCCGCTGTCAATCCATCATGTCCAATCTAGCTGCTCCAGCAAGCTTCCAGCAGTGCTTCGCATGTCTTTTTCTTTTTCAGTTGTCAATGTTTGGTGAAACTCTCCTGAATAGGAGACTGAAAACCGCGCAGGTGGGGCTGTCCGTTCGTCTTTTCTCATCATCCAATGTCTTGAACCCGAATCCTTTTAGGCCAGGCTTGCCGTCCGGATGCAAGGCCGCAGGGAGCATTTCCCCGTGTCTATTAGACAGTGATTCATCTTCCAAGTACTCGCATCCGAGAAATAGACATCAAACAAACTGGGAATCTAAAGGGACCAAGAAGAAACAGTATTCCACTAGATCGTCTGAAGAAAAAGCATGTCTGGTAGGACAAATCCTATCAACTAGAGCACTGCTGAAACCCTCAGTTCCCAAGAAATAGTCGAACTTGGAGTCTAAAGTTGGTTTGTGTTGGTCTCAGCATGTCTTTTTTGCGCCAGCTGTTGTGAACTGTTAGGCGATTTCTCCCACTTCAGAAACTGAGTTTCCACTTTGACCGACCCACCTGGTGGCCACGAGGATATGGGCCTCACTCATGCATCTCACGTGCCTGCTCCTCGGTCGTGAAGAAGTGTCCGAAGCGCAGGGTATCGTACATCTCCTGAGATGACGAAAGAAAATCCGAAGGAAATATCGATGAACACACACTTTCTCTTTCTCGGAGAGCGAACCTATGCTTTTTGAAGGGCTGAAGGTTCGGTGAATTTTACTATATCTCAATAATCTTATAGTCAGTATAACAGCTAGTATAATTAAGGCACTCCACACACAACAGGGGAAGTCAAACAACATTTCCGGTGCTCATGGATACCACTGAATCGGTATCACTCACAGCGTCAATACTCCTTGCACATGAAGATCCTCAAGCATACCCAGGCTGATCCAGCCAGGCATATCTTCCAGCCCAAAAGATATGTGTGTAAAGTAATGTTAAAAAGGTGTTGACAAAGCAAATGAAAATGACAAGACTGCCACCTCCTGGGCACCCAGCACCCCCACCACCCCACCACCCCAGCGCCCAAGTCTCCGCAGGCACGACCCGGCCGTCGTCGTTGATGTCCATGCCCTTATGTGCGAAGAGCGCCTCGGTCTGCGTCAGCGGCGGGACGAAGGCCTTGGCGAAGCGGACCATCTCGTCCTGCGAAAGCTCCTGACGGCGAAGGGACGAGAGCAGAGCGTGCCATGGTGGGCGAAGGGAGGCCTTGGTGAAGAGAGCGGTTTGGGCCACCGGGGGGTCAGGGTGAGTGAGGTCAGTTGGAAACCCCACTTCTGGATGGCCTGAATCTTCTCGTTGAGATGGCACAATTTTGTTGATGCCTCTGCTTTCTTTCGTTCTTGAGGGTGATAAATTTTGGACAGCCCCATTTTGCCTTTGGGGAGCTGTGGTGTGGTGGGACGATGCACCTGGATGTCCATGGAAACATGGCCATCTCCTGACTGAGACAGTTGATCCATCTCCATCATCTGGGACGGCCATTGTGAGGGTTCAACCACTTCAGATCCCTCTGAGCGTTCCAGGCAATAGACTCACTTCTTGAGGGTATCGCCTGAATCCATCCTGTTCCGCATCAAGAGGGGCCTCTTCAATGGTCTTCACAAAAAGAACACATGCCCCACAAACCCAACCATTTTCTCTATGGACCAAGCACCTTTCCTCCCCTCAATTTCCCCTCCAGGGCTCATTGTCTTGGTTCGCATCCAAGGCTTTGAACGCCGTCTCCGCTGGTACCGAGCCCATGCCATGCACGAAGCGTGCCATGGAGATTGGGGGCTCATTGAGCCTCATTTCTTGTAGGACCTTTGCCAGCCTCGCGAAGAGTGCATATCTTGCGGGCATGGATGGGGGCACGTTGCACACCTGGGTATTCCGACTAGTGACTAGATGAGTAGCAAAAGCAAAGAATAGGACATGAATATATATATACATATACATTATACAAATACATGAATCGGACGTCCCACTTCAAACTCTTCATTCCCTTTGGCCATCAGTCTTGTGTATGGGCATCTGGGGGAGCTGGTCTCATAAAACCTGAACTGGACCTAGGACAAAAGTCCATGTGAATGGACAACACTGACCAAACAAACCCTCACATGCTGTTATATAACTCTTCCGCTTCACATCCCAATCCCTGGTCCTGGGGTTGTCATTCTGCTCCTGCGGCGGCGCCACTTTCACTTCCACGTTTTCCTCGCCCGGATTCGTTCTGGTCGCCGGCTTGTGTGGTTCAGTCCCGTCGCCCTCGTGCTCCCTGGCGTACTCAAAGGCAGCCTTAAACTCGGGGAATTCCACCACGCCATCCTCGTTGGCGTCCACGCCCTGAAAGACCACCCGAGCATCCTGTCCACGCATGGGCTCTCGCAGTTGCCCCAAAGCATTCAGCAACTCGCCACGGGCGGCATAGCCATCACCATTGAGATCCAAGGCTCCGAAGGCTTGCTCAGCACTATGCTGGCCTTCCTTCCCCATCCTGGATGGCTGCTCAGAACATGCTCAGTTCAACAGGTTGTTCTTCCCTCATTGATTACACACATGTTCAAAATTAAAACCGCCAACTACTAAGCTGATGTTCGGAGTTGTGAACACCTACGACTTACCTCTCCTCAAAAGAAAACCACCCATCAGCAGTGTGAATTGAGGTCTTCCAGCTGCTGGAGTTCTTCCATCGACAGAGGACTGACCATGTGGGGAAGATCTTGCCTTCTGTTCGGAAGTAGTGACTGGACTCCCCCATGGCTCACGGCCATGATGGAAAAAAATGAAGGTTACAGTCTGGGTGTGTCTGAAATGGGGGAGGCTGCCGGTTGGTGGGTTCTAGCATCTTTAGCCTGCATTGCCTTCGGCATTTGGTTTGAAAACTGAAACTGTTATTTATGATCGTTCCGTCATTCTTTATGGATGACTTACACCACCTACAGCTGAAGATGAAACAATAATTTCCCACGAAGAAGATCTTCGGATACCCCATGGACAGATGTCTGGACATGTTTGTTTGGACTTTTTGTGGTACCAACATGTGCCAACCCCAGCGGGTCCTCTTCACCATCTCACCCACGAACTTGTGCAACGTGGCACGGTCCACCACGATGGGTGGCGGCTCTGTGACAGTGATGACCGTGTGCGGCACCGTGGTGCGCTGTGTTGTGGCTAATGTCGTGGTGCTCAAGGTAGTGGTCTTGTGGTAGAAGAATGTGCTGTGGATGAAAGCCTCAGCTGGGTGGTTGTTGAAATCACCTCAACATCGTACAAACACACCCACGTTGGAGCAGTGACGGAGATGTTCTGATGACTATTGTACTGCCACTGATAGGTCTGTTATTTCGTTTATATACTTCATCCAAACGCCTCAAGTTCGATTTTGGTGACGATGGACATTCGACCATGTCCTCTGTAGAGGAACTGGGTCAAAAGCTGGCAGTTAACCTCTCATGTTCTTACTACAGTATCCACCAGCACAAGACACGATGTACCTTGCGGCAGCTGGCCATTGACGCGCATGGAGAAACGACAAACAACTACAGTATATATATTATATACATAGACAAATCGGGTACAACATATTCGCTGCGGGCGCTCAGTGGGCAAAACCTGGGAGGCAATATCGTCGGCTTGTGAACAGGACCAGGTCATCTGAATAGGACCAGTTGGACTGGATTGTCCCTTTACAAGATGTTGCATTCCTTAAACCACCTGCACCCTTACATTCGTTGAATTTTGTTGACCTGGTACCACGTTGTTGCTTTTCTTTTGCGTGTCGATGTATCCTTTCTGATCGAGTCGACGAGTGGCTTTGTTCCACTCGGACTGCTGGATAAAGCCGTCCTGCCGCTTTCCAAACGCCGAGGATCGCCGAAGACTGAACGGGATGGCCAAAGAAACGCTAACACCGAAGGATCGGGAATCACCTGATCGAAGGAAGACTTCTGTCTGGGCGGATCTTCCAGCTGGTTCTGAGTCACACTGCATCGAATGTCTGGCTCCTGGTATGTTAGTACCGACTCTAAAGTGGGAAAGCAGAACTCCTCCCACGGATTCCGGTCCATCTTGGGCAGAACATGCAGGAAGATTGAACTGTGGTATGGCAAGCTGGGGCAAGATTTCAATGGAAACCTATAACCCGTTCCTGCAAGGCGGTCCGGCCATCTGTTGCTCTCAATCTACACTTCAAGCGGAGATGTTCTTCGTTCTTCCATCGAAAGTATCAAATTGACCGTTTCGATCCGTTTCGTCCATTGGGCAACCAGCCACAACTTGGTTTCTTTCTTCATGACCTGCCATGACCAGCACTGTTCGCGTTGACGTCCTTTTCCCCCAAAAAGAGTAACTCTCTCGCGCGCGCAACCATTGCAACATCTGTGACTAAACAATTTTGAACAGCCCGCGTCACGTCGCTCCTGGTCCAAGTCCAAACCCTGGAAGGAATACTTCACCTGTTCTGGCCTTTGGATCGGGTTTCGCAGTCCCGTCATGAAGACCTGCACAGAACTGCGGAGTGGTCTCCGATGGCAGAGGATGAGGTGAAGGAGGTTCTTAGGATACGAGAAATTGGTCATCCTATGCGCCTGAAAGGTTGAGGAACTCTCAATTGGCCATTAGGCCCAAAATCTGGGCACTCCAACCCAACGACCTGAGCCCCTTGAGATCCCTTAAGGGACTTCAAAATACTTCAAACATCTTCAAAGAACCCACCTGAGCATCACCCCACTGGAGGTGTCGATGTCAGTGGTTCTATGACTCACAATATCCAAGGACCAATGGCTCCTGCCTTCAGATCACGTTCGCTCACGGAGCCACCCTGGTGAACGTCCAAGACATCCCATGCGCCCTTGGGGACTCCATCCTCCCCAGGACTATAGGAGCTATAGACCTGCGCAAGACGTGCGAGACTCCTGGTGTGGAGCAGCCCAGGCACCCCGAATAGTTAAGCTTCGAATTGAAAAGAAGGGAAGAATGGAATGCCTTTCAGAGGTCTGTGGCAAAAAACAAAAAGCTGTAGCAATCGGATCTGATGCAGGATGAAAAGGGGGACACAAATCATCACTCACGGTAGGTTTCAACACACACTGGGAAGAGTTATTGGGTGGAACTGAAGAGAGATGTCAATGCCCTGAACCTCCTAAGTCCAAGACCTTCAAGAAACAGGGACACAGGTGTCACAGGCGACACCGTCACTGCATGCAAAACATCATGTGTAGTAATTAAGTCAAGTGGATTAACCCTGTAAGGAAATTGGAGTAACAGCTTGATCAAAAGTTCAAAAACATTGCATGTACACAGAGCGGATCAGGCTCTGCTTCCCACTCTCGCCCACAGCTTCGTTGGGTGTGGTAGGACGAGAGTGCCACACGCCCCTGCTATCAACCGAGAAATGATCTCATCATCAGTGCTGTGCTGAGAAATCTTCCGCTTGTTATAGCGGTTTACACACACACACACACCTCTGTAGATATACTGTATATATATATATTATTGGTGTACAGTGTACATCAGTATTTATACAGGACAAAGAGAGGGAGGGAGACAACAAGGACTCACACATGCTGAGGCTGCGTGTACGACGCCTACGAGCAAGTCCAGTCTCAAGTGCTGTGGCAATTTCCATGTTTGCTTTCCTCAGGGTGAATCCTACGAACAGCTTAAGCCTTGCCTCGGTGCTAAGGAAAAAGGTCGGAATGACAAAAAAACAGCTTGAAACTATCTTGCCACCCCGAATCCCTTCGTTGACGTTCCAAACATGTCCAGCACCAACAAAAAGGCACACACACAATCACACACACACACACACACCACGTAAACACCACGCCCACCCACCATGCTGCCTCATTCTGGAAATCCTCGAATGGCATCCATCCTGCATGGGTTTCCCAGCTTCGGATCCACTGCATCCCGACCATATCGAAGAAGTTCAGCCCCAAGATCCAAATCACCAGCGTGCACCCGAAGGTCATGGTCAAGCCTGAGTGATCGGCGCATGCCAAGTCTGTACTGCTGATTTCACTCCAAATGCGACTGCCCCCATGTGTTCTCATCAACATCTGCCCACCCCCCAAAAATAAACGAAACCGCAAATCCATCATGACCCATCTGATCTCAAATAACTAATTTTTGTAAGAGGCCTAAGGTCACCTCTCCACAGCTATCCAGCTGGTCGATGTTCTTCAATTGCCCCGCTTCCCGCTCCACCAGCCGCCGCGTGGTCTGCGCATCGCAGCGCATGCTGTTCAGCGTGGCCATGTCGCGGCCGCCTGGGTCGCCGAACCGGGGAACAGGGGAATACGGTGGTGAAGTCAGACCCAGACCCAGGAGTTCATTGGAGTTGGAGGATGGAGACTTTTGGAATAAAGAAGCACCGAATCCTGGAGAAAGACTGAAGGTCATGGCAGAAAAGCATGCATCAAATACTGTACGCAGTTGAATAGTTAGATGTGTTTGCATGTTTTTTGCTAGGTTCTTAACTCCAAAGGCCATTCGAGACGGTAGAACACCTGGAAGTCTGGTACATTCACTGAAGCCTTCGCCAGGTTACACAATATGGGAAGCACTCCCCTTTGGAAGACCTCCCCCTGTACTACTTGCTCCGCGAGCGCACGTCGGCGGAATCTCGCGTGCTTGAGCCAAAAGAAGCATTGCATGGACCAGTTTTGCTCTATAATTCTAGCTGCAAATATCTGCAGATCCTTCTTTTCTATTTCTATATTCATCTGTTACATAGCTCCAAATATCCTTGGCATAGCTCTGTCATTCAAGCACAAATCATCAGTGAGAAATAGTTACAAATAGTTACAGTAGTGACTGGGTGAATGAGTCACTTCCGGACCCCCAGCCGCTGCGGCCCGACTGGAACCCCATGGGCCTTCAAAAAGATCTCACGCATGGGGACCGTCGACGGAGACCGCCCCCAGACTGCCCGGGCTCGGGCTCCAAGGTATTCTTCCGTTTCGAAGGTGTTCGGAATGGGGTTTACAGGGTCTAAGTATATTCTGAATGTTTAGAGCCCTAGGGAATGGGCTTCCAAAAGATGCTGACGTTTTCCGAAATTCGATTGGGGCTTTCCTGGCTTTCCCCGTGTCGAACCGAACGGAGCGCTCCAGGAGATGGTGAGGGCGGAGTGATGTCTTCTGCTGGGCCATCGAAGGGAGGGCTCGCATCCTGAAGTCGGACGACGGGAGCCTCCGTCGGTTTCTCTGAGTCAATGGGCATTTCGGTAGGAGCGATCGGATGCTACGAACGGGGCTCCTGGCCTCGCTACTACGAACAAGAAGCTACTAGGGGCTCCTGGCCCATACTACTAGGAGCAAGGAAGCTACTAGGAGCAAATGGCATCGCTACTAGGGGCCGGGGAAGGTATTCAGGCCTTTGCTTGCTTGAATCAAGGCACACGTGATCATGCACGATCAAGGTTCTAGCCATTGGGGAAAAGCACAGTTAGCACGCATCACTCGCCAGATTGAATAGCCGGACTTAGGCAAATGCCCTTCAAAACATGGCATCGCAGCTCCCCCAAAACTGGCTCAAAGCAAAGAGACCGACTGCTCCTTCCGTGGTGCTTCACCGTTCCAATATTCACGGAAGATACAATTTATTGGAAAATATATCCTACAGCACATGGCCGGAATACTAAACTCAAGTACTGTATATATCTGAACCATCTGAAGCACTATTATCAAATGGTCTTCCTCAGGCGCCTCAAATGGCTTTCCAGAATTCCTTCTGTCAGCAGTAGCTCCCCATCGAACGCACCACCCCTTTTGAGGACCTTTGCATCTTGAGAACTCTTCGGCTTTTAGTGCCATCATGTGCCATTTGCATGCTGCGCTGCTTCAACCCAACACACTGATGACCTTCAGTCTTGGCCATTACTTTCCCTCTTATGGCGCCTGGGCCATCGCACCAGGAGGCAGTTCCTCAATGTATCGCCAGAGGTTTCGTGGCGTGTTTTTTGGCGGGTGAGTGAGGGAGAGGAAGTATTGAAGACTGGAAAACAGTGGGCACTAGCAGTATGACGCCATCAACATTGTTTTTGCTCTAGGAACATGGCCAGGAGAATGTCTTGAGCCAGTCCAATTGAGTGCTGGCGTTTGAGCCGCAGTCTTGCAAAGACCATTTCAATATCGGATGTGTTCAATCTATCGGGATGCCATCCAGAAACCCACGCATGAACACCCAGATATGGTACCTGGGGCCATGGGGAACCAACAAATCTCACATCTCGCAACTACCCCCAGCCTGTGCAGGCGTCCGCTCTGATTGCGCCTCCAAGCTGTCCGGGGAGTGGACTCGTGGCTGTCGGTGCTTGGGCGGTCTTGGCTTTCATCCACATCCTTTTGCGTGTCAATTCCATCAAGTGGCCCTCACAAGACCAGCATCTGTCCCCTTCCCCACCGGTACCAGTGGCCCAACATGGCTTAACGGGGCGCAGGTCGTGGAAAGACGGGTGCTACAGTACTCGTCTGACTGGTAGCCGTGCATCCGTAGCATGCGTAGCCTGTTCCGTTTCCACTCAGAACATGCATTTTCTTACGTTTGAATGACTTGGACACGTGAAGAACATGCTAGATTTCGCTGGATCGGGGGGACCATCAGTTGGACCAACCCCATCATATGACCATGAGTTGGCAAATTGCATGGCGGCGCCACACGTGATCAACACAAACATTTCAGTCGGATCAGTCGGATCAGGGATCGATCAAACTGAACACCAGCACCTGAGCCGCCTGAGCCCTGATATGGTAAAATACCTTTTTGCCATTGGGTGGAAAATGTGTCTCAGTGAATTCTCGCCATGCAAACTACTTGGTAACCCCAGCCCGGCAAACCAAACGGATCCAAATGGGGCATTTGGCCAACGACTTGCCAGGCATTTGTGGTGTCCCGGTGGGTCCTCTCACTCCTCACACCCACCCTTCCAGCCGTCAGCTTCGCCTGCGCCCGGTCAGCCTCGGCCACCGGTCCGCGCGCTTCGGGCGCTTCGGGCGCTTCGGCCGGGGTGGTCGGAGAAGCCGCCGCCTGGGCTGACTGGTCAAGGCTCAAAGGCTTGGTGCTTGACCCTCAATCGATGCTTTAAGGCTTCAAGCACCTTCTAACGCCGAGAACCCGCCTCGGTTCCCTGGGCGATGCCATCGGTGTCGGGCCCAGGCGCCCCACCAGCCGGGGCCTCTGTCGAGTGGGCGGTTGGATGAAAGATCTCAGCTCACCAGGGGGTCTCATGAGGCGCTCGCCTGACTTCTAAACTTGACTCTAAACCTTAATATATAAATTATACATTAAATTACTGTAGTGTGCGAGCTCAAACAAGATCTTCTTTGGACATGCCTCAGCGCGCTTGGCTCATGAGATAGCCCGATATCACATGAGCTGTATCAGTCTACATCCATCGATGAGATGCATTCGGTCATCTCCACAGCCCAAAACCGGCAGTTGTTTCTCCAAGGTCTGCTGAAAACTCTGATGGCAGGTCTTCCTGAAAGAATGCACCTTATAGGCTGGGCAGAAGCCCCACTCACGTGCGAAAAAGTAATGCACTGGCAGCCAGCCTCCTTCTTGGCGCGCTCGGCTTTTGCCTCTCGGTCGCTCATTTGGTATTCGAAGTCGTCTGACTCAACTGGATGGGTCGTAGGTGGACCACATTGTGAGGTTCTCCTCTGCATGGAGAATCTGCAACAGTGGCCGACCTGTTGCCCCACAAGTCGGGCGATCCTTAAAAGATAGAACTGGGTTGCAAGAATGCAAAGGTGGAGGTTGCAAGTTGTTCAAGGATTTCAAGGGTTATCTTTCATTGCCACTCATCCTGTTTCTCCAATACCTGCTTGATCCTGCTTGGGTTGCCCTTTCGGCAGAACACTGAAAAGGACCTCGCCCAGGTTGCCAAGGTGCCCACCCACGCCCAACACCAAAAAATGCTCGAAAGCATGCTGCTCAACATCGTGGGCCAGCAGCACAAGTGTCCCGTGGACCTATTCCTAGACCGCTCCCAGTCCATTTCGTGGGACCCAGCCACTCCCAGTCGCGCATCTGTGCACGCCTCTTGCGCTTTCACTGACTCCAAGCTTGCCGATCTGAGATGCGGCGATTTGAGCAACTCCGAACCCATCGGTCAAACGACAAGTTGTGAAGATCCTTGTCTCATGAGTCAAAAATGTCCCTCTTGGAAAAAGAGTCAAAAGGGCATCTATGAAGAGTTTTGCCAAATTACTTCTCCTACCTTCAAAGCATTCCACCCATCGATGAAGAGTTCAGATCCCTCACAGAAATCTGGAACTTCGTCACAGCATGTCATGACGATCTTCACAGTCATGTCACAGGTGTCTGGAGGCCATCGCTACTAGGTTGGAGGCCATCGCTACTACCAGGCTCGCTATTCTCTATATTGCCATGTTCACCACCCACCCCAACGGACCCCCACGGACTTTGACGGACTCAGTCGCATCCCACCGGACCTTTGCGACCGCTCTTCGTCTCTTCGATGCCGGTCCTGCGCAGCCGGCGGAGTCGGAGGACCGAGATAGAAAGGAAATCACATCGGTATGTGCATGTCAATTCATGTTCCTCACATCACACCAAAGCGCGTATAAATATATAATTGGATGATTTTTGTGTTTAAATGTTTTTGTATACTCTTAGGTCTGGTCCTTGCAACCGAACAGCAACTGAACTTGCAACGTTGGCCCGGCCAGCTTATATTGTTTGTGGGAACAACCCTTCAGCTCTCTGTGATGTATGGGCCTTGGTCAAAGAGAACCGACACATCCGCTTGACGCCGACACATCCGCCTCCTGGGCGTAGGACTGCGGGTCCTAGCGTGCAGGAGTTTTCCGAGGCCGAAGGGGGTGAAAAAGGACCAGGTCAGGTGGGTAGCTTTACGGTTGTATACGATTGTCAAACGAAGTCCATGCTGAAAGGGATGCTGATACGCTGCCGCCAGTTCTGTGGAGGTGTGGCTTGGGTCGTTGCTAGATTCTGAAAGGTAAGGACTGTGAGGTAGATATGCAGCTCGCGCCCCATCCGCAGGCAGCCGGTTGGGTGTCCTCAATGGTCCCTGGCAGCAAAGGCACCTGCTTGGCTTCAGGCCAGGAATACACAAAGATGGAATCCAGGGGCTCATGGACAGAACTACTACCAGTACATGTTTGAGGCGCAAAACCCTGACCCTTTGGAAAGTCAATAGAATCAGAAAGAAATAGGAATGACGAGATGTGAGCGTTTGATGAAACCAACAACACCTCAAGGCGAGGACTGTAGATTCAATGCTCTACACGGACCGACCCATCACCAAAATGCTTCAAAATCCTAGCTTCAAATGGAGTGATAAACAAATCGAAACATTCTTGGAGTGTTGTTCTCAGATGGGAATAATTATGTTATATGTTTCTGATATCTATCTATATACAAAACATATATTTATATGTATTTATATTATGCTTGTTACAACTCTATGTACGTACATTAAAGCGCCCGTACACTCCGTGTATCAATCCCGAACAGCGCCTCCACAGTCTGTGTGCTGGTTCCCGCTGCGGCAGACGCCTCCGCGTATCCAGTGAGAAGGGAAAATTTGTGTGAGCAACCAACATGGGTATCCCCAAAAAAGTTTGACATCGTGAATGGTCATATACAGTAGTTATCATGAGTGGGTAGGGAGCCAGGCAACCATTGATCTTTGTCAGTCCAAAAAGGGCCTAAGTCGGCCGGCTTGTAGCCACGTCTTGAACCACGCAGCTGACCCAGACTGACATGAATATGACTCATGACTGACACCGTGGCTAGGAGTCCATTCTGTTTTGGAACGGGACTGGTGCGCCCGTGCTCCACCGAGGCTGGTGCCGGTTGGACCAAGCAACACCGAAGCAGACCCCAAGAACTCCACCCACACCACTCAACAAATACGTTCAAATACCATCAAATACCTATAGCCTATTCTATAGTATCTATAGCCTATAGAAGCATTCCCAGGTCACAGCGGAACCGATTTTCGCTCCATTCCCAGAGGGTCTGCCATCCTCGTAGCTGGCCACAGCCACGGCGGCCATTGGCTGGCCTGTGACGTCGTGGACCACGGTCACGGAGCTTTTGACGAGGCTACTTCAGGGGATATACACATGGAAGTATCCCAAAGAAGCCGGGTCTAACATGTGATTTGGGTGTTTCCAAGACATGGAATAACCATGGAATAACCATCCTCAGAACCAAGTGACCGAGCTGGTGAACTGTGCACTACATGCACTACCCTGTCAGACATGAGTGTTGCCACTGGGTACAGTGCAACGCGGGTGAAATGGCTCTGCGCAGCAGGTCTGACGATGCGTTGAGACTTGGGATCCTGGATCAGAAGCATAGGATCAAAAATGCAGCAAAAACCAATCGCTAGGGCTGGGTTTAAAATGCATCATCTTGGTCCATATGTAGTGTCCAACCTCACCACGGGGTGATGGGCGTTCTGCCTGGCAGTGACACCACGGCGGTAATCCCTGGAGGCAAACTGATGGTCACAGAGAGCCGGCCATCGCTCATTGGCAAGCTGGCGAAGTCTTGGGGTTGAGACCTGAACATGGGCATCGCTACTAGGAGCAGGGACGCTACTAGGGGCTCCTGGCATCGCTACTAGGAGCTGACTTGCAAAGTGACCAGCACCTTAGGACCCTCTTTAAGAATCCCAACGACAGGGTGGGAAGAACATGGCTCTTCATTGGGGGGTAAGATCATGAAAAGCACGGTGGTTTTTTTCTTCTTTTCAACTTGTTGCACATCTTGTTCTCCTCTTCAAACCAGTTGAGTTCAAGACTCTTGAGCTTAGAATTTTCAAGGCTCTAATTACCGAACTTTGAGGTGGTTTCATGTTTGTTTGGCGACATTCTTGGTTCCAAGTGCTTGCCATGATGGACCAACAACAACATATACTAAGAGACTGTGAGCCAGCAAGTGCAACATGAGTTAAGATCCCAGCGTACAGTCGACGCCCCCCCCAAAAAAAACTGCTCTACAGGGTCTGGACAGAATATCACAGGGTCTACAAGTCCTTGTTCCCTTCCCCATAGAACTTGGGAGCAACCCACGGACGGACGGACGGTGACACTGCTGTGTTTGTGTGGCATACACACAAGCTCGCGCAAGAAGTGCGGCAACGGCAGTCACATTAGTCACGTGCCTGGGGTCTGTAATCGTGTGCTCCAAGCTGGCCTACACTCACCTCCTGGCTTCTCTGCCCTCATGAACTTCTAACCTCAACCACCCACCATCCCACAACCCTCTGCCCCTTTGCGGAGATTTTTGCTCCGGCCGCAAGTCTGGGGCGGCAAAGCTGAAGGCTTCCCTGCGACGCTGAAGGCGGAGCTGAAGGTGAGGTGGAGAATCAAACAGAAGTGGCTAATCAATTGAACCTAAAGCTTGTCGACGAGATGTTAGAAGGGTGTGTGAAGGCTGGAAGGCACCCTCTTAAAGATCCGATCGGAGATGCAGGAAACTCTAGCGAATAGAGTTGTCCAAAAGCCGGACTTGGAAGATGAATCTGATGGACTGAAATGAACCCGATGGACCTCCTCAAGGCTCTTATCTTTTCTTATCAGAGTGTGCTGCCTGGCACTCGTGCCGAGCACGTAGCCCCGCAGGCCCTCGTTCGCGGCCAAGTAGCTTCGCAAAGTGCTCCTGGGGCCAAAGCACGGCAGTTGGTACAGATTCAGCAGTGGATGTGGTTCAGCAAGTACCTGACTAATAAGTTACATATTTGGGGATTAGGCATGGCAGCGTCCCCAATGGTCTTGCACTGAAAGGAAAACACAAACAAGTCTTGCCTGGCTTGGCCAAGCCGAGCACAGCTTAACAAGTGCCTCAAAGTAAGATAGAAAAGGATACAGTAACTCTGTCGAAACAGCCAATGCTACTACCAACAAATCGAACAAGACAGTCATGTCTGGTCATGACCTGTGAACCCAAAATCTCTTTAAACTTAATACAGTAGCTGTACTGAGCGCCTTAGTAGCCTTAGCAAAATCTAAGAGTCTTTCTCTCTTCCCGGTAAAACCCTCGTCCTTCTATCCGCCAACAGTGTCGAGTCCAAGAAGTGCTCCAGAAGCCTGATGTGACTATGCGGACGGGTCTTCATCAGCTAGTGGATGGGAATCGAATGCAACCCAAGAAGGAAAAGGGACCGTGAGTCAGAACATGCAAAAATCATATACATTTGGGTGAAATTGCATCATATATTTCACCAAAAGTATCAAACCTGTGCCTTTGGTCGCTTCATCTCGCTTCTGACATAAGTCACGGTAGACCGGCACCGAAAAACGCTCTACAGTATTCGCGGTTTTTCTGACGGCCTTTCACCTCCCTTCGGCGTGGCCAACCGGCCAACGGAGAGGCGGAGAAACAACACGGAGAGCTTCAAGAAGTCCCAGTGTTTGCTTTGAAGAACCCTCTGTCTCACATCCCACCAGCGAAGGGAGGGGTTTGGAGTCCGCTGTCGGACAGCACAGCAGCGTGTGGGCCGCATTGGGGCGACTGATGCGGTCGACTTGATAGGTATGGGAGAGTTGGTGTGCTATATGGAATATTCTATATATTTTGGTATATGGAATTGTGGAATATTTGGGATGATTGGAATATGATATTCTATGTTCAAGTTTGTTCGAGCATGGTACGGCATAGATGGATGGGTTACATCCTCCAAATATGGGAGTTGGCTTGTACGGCCTGGATTAACACATCTCCCAACACCCCTGGGCCACCCAACCCAGCATCGTCATGCGCCATCGCCTTGGGTGCTGGGCAGACTGGTCATCCCTCATCACCCAGTGCAGAAACTGCAGCGATTGTTGGGTGCTTTCAAAAAAAGTCCTGGACTTCCGCAAAAGGGCGGCGTTTGAAGCCCATGCTTTGGTGCCCATCGGGCAACACGCGTTCGGTCCGATGGAGACGTCAAATAAAGCCGATCTGCAGAACAAAGCGGGCATATATATATATATAGTATAGAATCCAAGGGAAATGCCACAATTGCTTTGTTCTTGAGGCACAATTTGAGGCACCGGTAGAACTTCTTTCAGTTGCCACAATGCTGCCGTGCCACGCAGTCCCGAAGGTATCCTGGAGCCTTGGTCAGATATGGCTAATGTTTCCTCCACGAAATGTGAGTCCGGACGAAACCTGCCAAGAGGTTGATGGCCTAAAAGCTGGTCCTATCCCCACGTTGCCACGTGGTATTGTAGGTGAGACAAACAAACAAACACACATTGAAAACACGAAGTTCGTGAAACACCTTTGCCCTCCAAAGCTTGGCAGTTCTCGCATCCGAGCCGCAGGGTAGAGGTGCCGGCCAGGTGTGAGTCCTGACAAAGACTGAGGACAAGTGGCCCCTAGGAAAACAATGCCGAGTGATGCTGGAATGTACCAAATTGTCATTTAAGGGTGCAGTGTTTACTACTGCTCACTTTTGCATACCATAAAATACCATAAATACTATACCACCTCCGTGGCTGCGATGAACATTCCCAGAATCCAATCTTCCTGTTATGTCCTGCTACAGCCACTGCGTCTCTCCACAAGAAGGTGTGCATCTGGCTTTGTAGAAGTAAAGCAAACGGAAAGTATTGGTCGGGTGAAGAAGATCAACTAGACTAGACCATGGAGCCCCAAGATGCAAACATGTGCATGGTGTGTGCTCTTGAGAGGAGGGCGCAGCAGAGCCTCCAAACATTGACACACTATGAAAGCTGCACAGTGTCAAATCGTATCCACCATTCGCTGCCTACCACCAAATCTGATGTATCAGGCTCCTGGCACAAAAAAGCCTTGTATTCTGGCTAAAGATGCTAAAGTGTCCTGACATGACTTTGCTGGTTAATTGACATGACAGTGGTGGTTTCCAGACATGACAAACATGTGTTTCCTGGCTGTCCTAAAGCGCTGACACTATTTCATCACCCCTCAACCCCGTTCATCCAGTCCTCGTGGGAAATCCTCTTCCGAGAAGTCCTCCAGGCTCGCTGCGACGGACCTTGCGGTCGAAAGTCAGAGAGCTTTGCCAGCAGGTGATCTGTCTGTAGGGTCATGCAAACATATGAAAACCATTGGACACGATCGGAAAACCCAAGTGAGCCAGCTTCCAAGTGAGGGTCACTCTGGAGAAAAGAGCATTTAAACGCACTACGCTGCAGACATCTGTGGACATAAAAACCGTTGGTTGGGAGGTCTGGCTCCAACCCACCCCAGCATCCGTGGTACACCCGGAGTCGAACTTCTCTTCAATTCAGTCTCCGGCTCGGCAGATTCTGGAGGTCCAGGGCACAGTGGCATGGCCTGGACCAGGGGTTTAGCACAGGTTGGAAGGCATTGAAACCTCCTAAAGATGTTTGTCCTTCCAATCCGGACAGTTTGTGGCCGGTACGGGCTGCTATCAGTCTAGATTCTAGATTCTGCAGCTGGTGAGTTTTCTGAGAACGGTGCAAGTGGGAAACCGGGCATTCAAAATGGAAGTGGTCAGTGCTAAGCGATGTACACCCTCCAAGATGAGCAAATCCATAAAACCAATTCTTCAAGTTGGATTGCGGACACCACTCCTTGGAGGTCCATAATCATCCATTACACACCTTCTCTGTGTCCTTGGAGGTCTGTACCTGTCAGTGTGATTGCATGTTTTGATAAATTATGTACCCCAAACAGCTCTTCACAGGATTCTCACGTGTTCCCACCGTCCCACACAGCTTCTCACCAGACCTCAGGTGGAGGCCAAAGAGGTCGCAGAGACAAGCGCATCCAGCGAAAGACGTAACCTCAAACAACATGGAGGATGAAATCATATGAAATCCACCTCAGTGTCCTGTCTGATGTACTCAAAGACTCTACACTCTCCACTACAATCGCTACACTACACTCATCCATTCGAAGATTCCGTCGTCTTTGTGTCAGAGCTCTCGCATGAACCTCGTACAGTAACCTTGGAGTCCAGGTTGACTTCTCCCCCTCCCCTCCTTATCCGCCCTACTCTGAACCTCTCGGAACCTTACCATATTGGACGCCCCTGCTGTTGGGAAACCCTCCATCGGGCACTGAGGAACCCCTGCTGCTGTCGGAGCAGTGCTTCAGCATGGGCCCCTCCAAGCCCCAGAGGCTGCGCCGAACGCGAACAGAGCCGGGGGGACCTTTGGGGCGGTTTGTGGAAAAGTTCAAAATGCGAGAAAGAATAGGTTGTAGATTGACGCAAGCTATTTTGGGTTCTCGACAAGGTACTGTTTTTGCTTGCCCGTGGTTGGATTCTTTATACCTCATGTTTGCAACATGCAAAATCTTTAAGTCATGTCAGACCACATCAAAGATATGACTATGTTAGTGCTCACTCACAGCCCTCAAGCTTACTTGGTTAAGACTGATGCACACAACACCCTGAACCTATCACATCTTAGCTCTGGCCATCTGCCCCTCTCAGCCGTCCGATCGGATCACCAAACCGCACCTGTCAGCCTCGGCGTCATCTTCACAGGCCGCACCTGTGGAAGGGTCGCTCATCCTAGACTGAGCGAGGGCCTAACGAGGCTGAAGCCACCGGTTGGATTGCTTCTCCATTGGCCTTCGACCACTCCTAGCCCAAAACCTCTGTTCCACAAAACAGCGCTCACGGCTTTTGGCGACAACTCCAAGGGGTGGTGCCAGGCTGGGAGCACCTCAGACATGGCACCAACCCTGGTCCCCATCCAGACAACCACCTCCTCGCATGGAGCGATAAAATTCATAAGACTTCGCGCATTTCACCACAGCTCCCATCTGGGGCGGGTGGGCAGGGTGCAAGCAAGGTTGCGGCTCCTGAACAAAGAACACCTGTTCAGAACAAAATGCAGCACCTGACCTCAAGATTCAAGATATTCAACCGGAAGGGGATTGGGGTGTGGAGTGATTCCCTTATGCAGAGTATCCCTGCAACGTTCCCGCACCTTTTGCGTGTTGCTTGAGACGTTTTTAGTATCTTCGGGTCCCAAGAGCAGATAGGACCCCACCATCCGAACACAAAGCTTGTCTTGGTTCAACATTCCTCCTGGGATTTGTGAACAAAGTAGCGCTGGAAGGCTAACTAGTAGGCTCATGTATTGTTAGTTTGTAAAATATCCCCGATCCCCAGCCAAGAAAGGCGCACCATCTTACCTCTCCTCTCCTCAAGTCAAGTCTAAGTGACAGTAAACAAAGCCTGGCTCCTGAATCCGATTAAGGTAGCCACACATCAAGGCAGATCCTTCTTCCACAGCACCATCAGGTCCTGAGTGAGCCGGCCAAAAGGGGTGGACAGTAGCAGGCCGCAGGCGAACGTTTGTTCAGCGCGATGGGTGATGGGGATTCGATGGTTGATCAATTAGATGACGCAAGTATGGGAATTCGCAAAGTTGAAGCGTTTTCTTTTTCATTGCTCGCACCTATGGCTCATGCCTGTAGCTGCCATGCTATGAATTGAAGCGATCAAAAAAAACAAAAACAAACATGTGAACACACATCAGTTCTGCCTGCAATCTGGTACGGAACGCTGATGATCCGGTAGCCTGCGCTTGTGCTGCGACTCTAGATCCTTTGGTTGGCAAAGTAGACAAAGAATTCTTCCTCAGTGCTGAAAGTGTCCTTCTTTCTCAGCTAGCTTCTAATCCCACAGGTCACATACGATTGGGATGCCCACTTTTGCCACCAAACCGGGTGATCTCCTATCCTCAAACTCCTCCAAGCTCAGACTTTATACCCTGAAAAAGGCCCATGAAATGTCTTCCAGGGTCCATGGTCAGGTTGCAACTGAATTCCGCCCATTCTGCAAGAGTCTTGAAGATCTTGAAGGGAACATCCCTTCAGGACATCCCTTCATCCATCTGACTGCGCTTCCCAAAAGATCAGCTCTTGCAGTCTCCCAACCTGCTTCGCGTTCGTAGAAGCCTCTCGCCGCTCGCCCCGGCTGAGGAAGAACGTGCACCGTCGGAAAAGATCCGCTTTGAAGCGAGCACCCAAGCGAAATTCTGCTTTCCCCCAAACAGCTTTCCAAGTCACAAGAGTACCAACAGGTTCTTGAGACGACATCTCATGAAATCAACGTTGCAAACTGTACTGTGCCATAATGTGCCCATGTTACTCATGGTAAGCTTCTGAGTCCCAAATGTTGCGAACCGCGCGTTGCAAACCGCGCGCGGCTCCGCCACCACGCGATGCTCCGGGCAGAACTCGATCCGCGCTGACAACGCCTGGCAGCTCGGAGCGGGTCACATCCAGCAGCGCAACCTCACCTTGGAGGGACGCGCACGTCCGATGGAACGAATCGCATCGAATCATGTGGAAGGTGAGATGGGGAAGGTGAGATGTGATGGACCTGGAAGAGGGGAGAAAAAAGGCGTGGAACAAAAGAACATCAAAGCCCAAGCAATCTGATCCTTCAAAAACTGAACACTTAACACGGGACAGCCTACAGTTCTATGAGCTGTCTGACAGCGGAATGAAAAAATGCACACCCTGGATGAAAGAATAATCAATGTCTCATCGCCTAGTGCGGCGTTTTCCCCCCGCTTCGCGCTGAGCAGAAAGCCCTCAAGTCTGTGTTCGCCCCTGCTTCGCAGGGCCACGTGCCGCGCCCAAAATAGCGCCCTCGGCGATGGAAAATCTGTGGCGCCCCATGCATGGCCGAATCTCCAGTGCGGAGGAGCCCTGGGGCTAAAGGCCCACAGACCAAAACCCTCTGGATGAGGACATTAAACCAAGGAAAATGAGTGAATGAGGAACTTCGTTCCTTGGCAAAGTTCATTCACCGAAACGCGTGCAAGAACGAACTAAGGCTTGCATCTGACAATTTCTTCCAGCTGACGGACCCGATCGAATCAGAATTCCTTCCTTTTGAATCAGGCGTCATGAATCTGGCAGTAGGTCAACACATGTCAAAACCCATACCCCTACCTCCCGGCCAGGGTCCGTGGCCAATAAAGTCTGGGCGGTTCAAGAATCATTCACGACCCTAAAAGAAGGATCCCCCTCAGTAGAGGTCCTGTTCTAATTGAGTATTTTGGCTCAGTCGAAATCGTTTCTTCTGTCCTTGAACCTCCAGTCATGAGGCTCTACCCGAGGCCCTACCTGTCGATTTGTCATCTAAACATCTCACCTGGCAGTGGCTGCCGAGGCCGTTTGGCCGCCCTCTGGATGAATGATCATCTAAGACAGCTCCGGAATGATGCGAGGATCAGACCTCGCAGAAAGGATGATCATCTGTCATCTGTGCACATGTGGCAGAAATGACCACCGCATCTAAGATGCTGTTGTTTCAATGTGGAGGGACCTCTAGTGAATGGATGTGAATGGGTGTTCACAGCTTAAGAGTGTTTTGAGCAAGTTATGTTCCCTGTTGCTACTTAGGGCGTCCTTTCTTTTTTCAGAAATATCCCAGTCAGGATCAATACAGGTTCAACATGGTTCAACCCAAAAGGAGGTTCCTACTTGATGCCAATGTTTGGTACAATTCGCAAAAAAGAGGTTCCAGCATTCTCCGACTTGAGGCCCCCCCGTCCCAGTCCCTTGGAATACTAACATATAACATATACATACATATACTGTAATGATCTGAGAGATGTATTCATTGAGATGTGTTCACCTCCCTGCAACTCAATACCAACTCCGAGTCTTGACCAATCCCTCCTTGCCACAATTCCAGAACGCTCGTGGGGTCAGTCCAAAGACCTGAAAACCTCAAAAGGCATAGCCGTCCCAACGAAACACACCAGGTGCATCCCGGTGCATCTCAAAATGAGGGGAGACCCACTAGAATTGACCAACATGAAAGCTCCAAACTCTTACAGCCTACAAGGTCATGAGTCAGCAATTTCGGCTGCAAACAGAAACACCAGAAAAATCCAAAAAAGGCTGACAAGGGCACTTGATGGAGGGTGGCAAGGCCAAACCCGACTTCAACAGCTCCTGATGCTTTGGGCTTCGTCCCAGGAACTCCACGCGACCTCCGCCAAGAACGGCCGAGAACGGCTCCGAGAGCAGCCCTGGTGGGGTTGGGACGGTTGGGTCAAGATTCAAGACTTGAACCTCTAGTGGCCAGTTTTGTTGTTCTTGTTGCAAGCCGAAGTTGGGATAACCAAGAGCACCACCATCCCAAAGTGTGACCGGTAAAGGAAATGTGTGCAGTCTCCCCTAGTATAACCCGAATTGGGTCCTTTATTTGAAGCGAACAAAATGCAACACTTGCCTGCCCGAAACAACCAGTGATTGACATTATGATTGACTTAATTACGCCACAGATGCATCTTATCTTGCTAGGCACTGCCATTTTAGGTAGCTAGACAGTACCTGGGAGTCTAGCCCATGAGAAAACGTTGTTTCTTTGTCATACTCTGGCAGTGACCTCATTTCGCACAAAGCCCAACCAAAACAATAATATATATATATATATATATATATGTTCAAATAAAACGCATGTTGAAATCAAGAAATCAAGATGAACACCCAGTAGCAGGCAGCACCCGCAACGCTGGGTACCAGCACACAGCTTCGCAACGCAGTGTTCAGAGACCCCGCCCTCGGCAAGCAAACCAATCCATTCTGGGGCCTACCAGAAAAGCATTGGTGGTGCAATGTGCTGTTTCACAAAGCCTTTTTAACAGGTCTTGCTCAAGTGGTGCTTCTGAACTGTTGCTGCTGGAAGTGTTGTGGGAGCTGCTTTATAGCATCATCTAGCATGAATCTGTTGGCTGCAAAGTACCAATGCGTTTCTGCAGTCCAAGAAGGCATCGGCAGTTTTTGGTCTGCAAGCTCTTGTCACGCTGTTCCTCAGCATTCTTCCTGATTCCCAAACGTGCAAACAATATCTAACGCTGCCAAGCATGCATCTACCCCTTTAAAGCCCTGCCTACCTTTCACGGTTGTCAATGCTTGTTCCACATTGTTTCATCCTTTCCAAAAAGCATTCCATACCGCTTGGATTCCAGCCACAAAAAATGCCTTGGCACGAGTACCAGCACGCGAGTGACGAAGAAGCAGCTAGGAACACCTAGTGATCAACCCTCACCAGTGCTCCACTACTCTGCCCCAATGGGCCCCTCCTCAGCTGCACCGGGACGTGGCCTCTGCACCCCTGAACCCCAGACGCTGACAAAAACGTTTCCCCTGTCTTGGGGCCGTGGAGCCTGTCTCCAGGTCAACGATGCCACCTTGGATGTCCACCTCTCCGTTTGACACCTGGCGCTGGTCTGGCGTTGGTAGACTTTGGCAACCAGCGAATGGTGGTGGGAACAGTGGGTGTGGTAATTGGGAGGCAATCATGGTTGTGGATGTGTCAAAAGGCAAGATTTGGAATTGCCACAGGGTCTTTGATTCAGGCTCATGTTCCCAGACAGAGACAGAGAGAGAGCTCCAAAGTGAGCATAAGATGGTCCTCAGCGGGCCTTTCTGGGCCTTTCTCGCCCTGAGGAAACATCTTCGGTGGGTTTTTCAAGGTGCAAACCAATCTCTCAGTCTCGACTGGTTCATGTTGGTCCACCTCTCAGCGAGGTGTGACAAAACTCCGACCGCGTGGACCGCGGACCGCGGACCGGACCTTCTCTCGCACCACAGCACTGTATTGCAGGAGGAAGTCGATCGTGTGGAAGACATTCCTTCGATCGTGTGGCTCAAGGCATCAAAGCAGTGGTGCTTGGTGGCGGTCCCCCCACCAAATTTTGGGTGATGACGTGTCAAGGGAACAGAAATGCCATGCACCTCTGGTTTCTTGATGAAACGTGGTTGAAGCCGAGGGCCCACCGTTCCGGAATTTCTGGCATGCTGAAAACATGACCTTCGTTTCAACTGCTTTGTCAGAAGTGAACCCCTTTGTCAGAAGTGGAGATGTGCCAAAGTCCTCCCTCGTTCCGTGCATCGTTTCTACTCAAACCACCTCCCAAATGCACTTACTTGCATGACCATGATGACGTCCACCGAGCACAGCACTGTCCACCGGATCCACCGAGCTGCAGCTTCACTGCGAGCTGAGCGATCTCCTCCTCGCTGGGCGCGCAGCCCTGGTCGGCGAGCTCCTTCTGGGCTTTCATGGCCACGACGCTGAGACCGTCCAGCAATGCATCCAAGGCCTTGCTCACCTTCCACGATGTAGGGGAGAGGATGATGAAAGTGGAAGGGAGGATGGAAATGATGTGAAATGATGAAATGATGACATAAAGCGGATTGCATCAAATTGGGTGAGGGGCTGATGTTTGTTGGGATGTGGTCCGGAGGAATTGCAGCCAAAACGTTTCGGGGATCATGGCATCCATACCACTTACATCCACTTGCCACCTCATAGCCCGAACACCCAGCCGCCGCACCGGTGGAGACTTGCCGGACTTCGTGGCGAGGAAGGTCCTCGGATGTCAGGCGTCGCAGGGTGGATGGTGGAATCCTTAAAGCTATAGCATTGGCCTCCAACCGATGGATTTTGATGACCTCCCACCCTCGCGATGCGTGTCCAGGCGTCTTGGTGGCTCCCTTGATGGCTCCGCAGCTGCTGTGGCCCAAAACCAAGATCAGCTTCGTCTTCAGGGCCGCAGTGCAGAACTCCAGGCTGCCCAAGATGCTGCCCTCTGCATGGGTACCTGGGTCGGAAAGAGCTGCTGAGTAACCCTCCAGCTCTACCACTGGCACTGGGCAACAATCCTGCTTTTCCAGTTTGTATCCTCCTTCTGGCTCCTCCTGGCTCCTCCTGGAATCACAGTATGCACACTACTCGCTGGTGGCTCAACTCTCTTGCTCAAGTTCCTTGGTGTAGCTTAAGAATAGCAGAAGCTTCTAGAAGCCGCAGAATACTTGAAGTTCTTGGATTCGATCGTTATCTTACCGGAAGTTGGTTCCAGGTCGCCGATGCCAACCCGGAAAGGCAGTCATGAATCGCAATAAATGGGCGAGTCGACTGCCGAGAAAAACATCCAACAATCAAGAACTTCCCAATGCAAACCCTTCAAAAAAAACCATCTGGATTGTAAAGCCTCTCGACATGGCAGGGGATGATTTTACTCATCAGCATCAAGAGTCTGTATACATTGATGCTATCATGGGCTTTGGCTTCAGCTATGCCATGCTATGCCTCTGTGACTCCGTGAAGACCATTTATCACAAAAACCAAATGCATAGGGTTTAACCTGCAGGAATGATGACGAAGGCCACCGACAGACCTGATTCTGGTTCATTCATCACACGTCTTCACACCTCACGCACCCATCTCATGAGTTCGACATCTTCCCATTTGTGCTCAGTTCACCATCATCTA